CCAAATCAGTGGTGGACAAGTTTTTAGGCTTTCTACATCATGGCCAGTGTCTGCTACCAGCTACCCTACTTCCTCTTCATCTCGAGCGCCCCGGACTCCTTCACGGGCACCTGTTACTCCAGTGCCAGTACCCGGCACTCCACGACCTATATGCCAGGCACTCCAAGACCTGGTATGCCGGAGATGACTGAGGCAGAAGAGCCCTATGCAGACCTGAAGAAGGACATCGATGCTTGGCGACCTTTGTTGAAGGAGGCCGCAGAGCGCTTGGAGGGCAAGGTGGCAGTCAGCGCAGAGATCAAGCCAGGCGCATTCCTTGAACAAATCAAAGCCTTGGTGCCCTGGCACATCGCCTACACCCAGATCTACAGAACTCCAAAGATGAGACGTCTGCCAACTAGGCAGATGATGGATTTGCCTTTCTCCCATCGAGCGGCGGTTCTTTTGTTTGCAGATGGCTCCATCACCATCGAGAGTGAATCGATTGCTGGTTTGGCGAACCCCAATGCTCGTTTTGAGAAGAACGTGAGAGTTGGCATTTTCATTTATGGAGATCCAGTTTCTTTGAGCTCTTCACAACATCGTGCACGAGCTTCACTTCCACCTCCTCTACCTGAACCCGAGGAGATTGCAGTAGATGACTGGAAGATTCCGGACATTTCTTTTCCCGGAATTAGTGAGGACCAGACTCCGAAGTGGATGCAAGGAGTTTTGCGACGTGTGCACAGCAACCTTGGACACCCTCCACAAAGTGTCATGGTTCGTATGTTGGCTCAGGCTGGTGCAGCACCGGCCGCCCTGATCGGTGCTCGAGCCCTACGTTGTGGTGTCTGCGAGAGAGCCAAACCCTTGAAAGAGGCCCGACCTGCAAAAGCTGTCGGTCCCAAACGGTTCAACCAGCGGCTCATGTTGGATTTGGTCTTCTGCAAAGACGCCGCTGGCGAGACGTTCACCTTTTTGAACCAGCTCGATGAGGCAACCACCTATCAGGCATTGACCCTCATCCCAAATCGTGAGTCTGGAACTATCAACCAGGTGTTGATCAAGGGCTGGTTTCAGTTCTTCGGTCTTCCTGAAACTTTGCTCATAGATGCTGAAGGTGCACTCAAGTCCTTTTCCTTTGAGGAGCTCACGGCGCAAAGCAATGTGGCTGTAAGATATGTCCCACCTGACGCTCACTATCAGTTGGGCAAATGTGAAAGACATGGTGCCATGGCTCGTGCCATCCTTCGCAAACTCATCGACGAGCACGGGCTGATTGGTGCAGATGAGATGACAACCGGTGCAGTCATGGCATGTCATGCCAAAAACTCCCTGGCACGACGGGCTGGTTGCGCCCCAGCTCAATGGGTTTTTGGACAACTTCCACGTCTTCCTGCTTCCGTACTGTCTGAAGCTGACAATCCGGAGGCCATGGAAATGACTTCACTGAGCAGCAAACTTCAGCGGACAGAGCAACTTCGGTATGCCGCAATGCAAGCCTTTCTGTCCTTCGACAATGATGATCAGCTTCGTCGGCGGACCCTTTGAAGTGGGCATGAAAATCGTCTACTACCGACTTCGCAACAACCTAGACAATGAGGGCGCGCAACCGGGCTACAGGCAGGGCATCATTGTCGGCATCGACCCTGGAGTCAGTGGTTCTCTCTGGGTGAGGAACGACCGGGGAAGATTGGTTCAAGTTGCTCGAGAACAAGCAAGGACCCTGGCAGGACAAGAGCTCTGGATACCAGACCACCAGGACTTAGCCATCCTGAGGTCAGCTGAGCAAGATCTCTCCAAGAAACACGCAGCTGCTCACGACTTGAGGGACGCACTACCATGCTGCAGGGCAACCTTTGGATGAGCCTAGCTCCGCATCTGTGCCATCAGGCATACTGGCACCGGCATCACCTCGAGACGCCGCAGCGGCATCACGGAGGAGTTCTACGGCCTCTGATGGGCCTTTGGATGTCAAGCGAATCAAGACCTCGGCTGCACCTTCTGTCAGATCGTCAGTTTCAGATGTTCCTGATCTTCCAACAAGCTTCTCACGACAGAGTTCAGTGCAGGCACGACAAGTCTCTCAAGGCACTGAGGTGCTTCCTCCTGTGCCTGAAGATGCTGATTTGATGGCTGATCCCCTTCCTCCGGAACCTCGTGATGATCTTCCGTCTGAGACGACCTTGGATCAGACCAATGCTGTTTCACTCGCTGAGTACGAGACGTACACGATCAGTGCCAAATCTTTTTGCAAGTTTTGTGGATGTCGGGAGAAGCAACTGTTTTCTGGACGACCTCAGTGCTGCCGATGTCTTTGTTTTGAATTCACTGACCACCCTGGAGATGTGCAAAGTTGGTTTGATGAAGATGTTGAGTTTGATTCCCGCACCAGAAGTTGGAGAAACTCCCAACTTGCTCTAACAGAAGACCTCCATCTTCCTCAACAAGAAGAACTACAAGCGGCTTGGATCTCAGGCACTTGGCAGAACAATGAGATCCATCGAAGTCCAAACAAAGAGCCAGGTTCATCAACTACTGGCCCCACTCTGAGAAGTGTAGCTTGCTGGTCCACGACCGAGGAGCAATGGAGCTGGCTGACCTTGGCCAATGTCGAGACCGACCTTGATGTCAATGACTTCGACCTCAACAAGAAGATGGTCATCTACCACGCACCTCGTCGTGACAGAAAGAAGTTAGATCAAGAAATGTTGCTGCAACAGAGAAGGTTGTATGGCCATCTTCAACCTCACTAAGTTTGGCTCCTTCGTCATGGACGACAAGAAGCCTTCCAGAATGGCTGGGATGGCCCTCCCCCAGAGCGTCAGACTCTCTTCGACGGACAGCAACACTTCATGACGGCAAGTCACTTCGAAGACTGGCTTGATGCACAGGCAAACTTGGTCAGCTACTCTGAGACTGCCGAGACCTTTCAGACATACTTGCTCAACGGCACCAACAACAACATCAAGATGCAGGACACTTCGGACGAGGAGGATGGTGGCTTGAAGCGCACTCAACGCCAGGCTCTGAAACGTGAGCTTCCCTGGCGATCCATTCCCACAGCCGACTGGCCTGCCTTCATCGACTCCATCACCAAGGAATGGAACGAATGGAAGAAGTGGAGCTCTTGCATCAAGTTCACCGGTGACCCGAGCACGGTTCCAAAGCATCTCATCTTACCCTCACGGGTATGCTATCGGTGGAAGCCGATCGACGGGGGCACGAGCCACAAGGCACAGGCTTGCATTGTGATCCAAGGATTTCGAGATCCTCACCTTCCTCTTCTTTCTCGAGATGCCCCTGTCTTGAGTCGCATCGGGTTGATGGCTTTGCTTCAGTGGGCGGCTTCCATGGGAACTGATTTGGTGAACGGTGACTGCAAGAGCGCCTTTTTGCAGGGCAAACCAGATGATGAGAGGCCCGAGAAGATTTACATGAGGGTCCCTCAGGACGGCATCTCATTGGCCGCCATCGAGGACTGGAACAATGCCCCTGACACTCTTTACCAGTTGACAGCTCCTGTCTACGGCGCTGCAAACGCCCCTCGGCGTTGGTACATCCATGTTCGTGAGACCATGGAGAGCCTTGGTTGGCAGGTTCATTCATTGGACCCTTGCCTCTTCCTCAAGTTCAACGGAACCAAGGTCATTGCAGTGCTGGGTATACATGTCGACGACATTTTGGCCAGTTCCTTGGAGCCAGGAGTGTTGAAAGAGGTTGAGGGCAGCTTCACATGGGGCAGCGAATGGGAAGTCAATGACTTTGTGTTCATTGGACGAAGGATCGTGAAGCACTCCAACCACACGATCACTTTGTCACAGAGCCACTACGCTGCTGATGTTTTTGTCAGTCGCGTGAAGGGCGACGCCAATGAACCCATCGGCAACAACCAAGAGCTCATGAGCGAGTTCAGGTCAGCTATTGGCTCCTTGCAGTGGATGAGCGGAACCACCAGACCTGACATTGCCAGTGAAACAAGCCTCCTCCAGAAAGCCCAAGCAGAGTTGACTCTGCAGGACCTCATGGATGCCAACACCACGCTTCGCTACATCAAGGCTACGGCTGATAGCCACATCATGGTGAAACCGATTCCCCTGGAGAACCTGGTCCTGATCTCCTACGGAGATGCTGCATTCGGGAACGCACCAGGAGGGAAATCCCAGGGAGGTTATTTGGTTTTGGCTTCAACTGAAGAAGCTCTTCATGGAGAGGCAGAAGCATCACTGCTGGACTGGAAATCTTTCCGGCATCAAAGGGTTCTTCGCTCTACGCTTGCAGCAGAGGCAGCCAGTTTGGACCGCTCCGAGGACAGCGCAAACTTCATCGGCTGCCTTCTCGGTGAACTGGTGATTGAAGGCTATGTGGCCTCGCATTCGAGCCGATCGCCATTTCCTGTCTGGCCTGTCACAGATGCCAGGAGCTTGTATGATTCCATACACAGACTGGCCACGACCTTCAGTGAAAAGAGAGTGGAGATGGATGTGGCAGCCTTGCGCTCTACATGCCGGAATTTGAGGTGGGTGCCAACAGGTGAGATGAAAGCTGATGCCTTGACGAAAAGGTCGAGAGCTTTGCGAGACGCCTTGAGGAAGTGGGCACAAAATCCCACTGTGTCTCTCACCGAGGCTAGGGATCCGGACACGTCCCTAGATCCCAATGCACCTTGGCGGCCGGTGAAGGCAACAAAGAATGTCACCAGTGCGAATTTGATGTCTTGTTCATGAGTTGTTCCCCCTGATTTGCCATTCACCTGCTGCCATATCTCCCAGAGGGTGGGATTCTCGAGCTCGCTAAGAGAAAAGGCTGGAGCGCAGCCCCGTGGTAGATCCAGGGTTCCTAGGCTCCGTACCTTGCTTTTCGCACCTACATACATACACACACAGAGAGAGAGATATATATATATATATTTATATATCAAACAGTGATTCCAGTGCTGGCTAAGATCATCTCAGCTCACCTCATGAGAACCCCTTCTCGTGTATCGTTTGCGTGTGCTGCCCTCGACGGATTGCCCCCAGGCCACTGACCTCGAGAGCTGCAAGGCGATGTCAAACTATACGGGAGGTGTACTTTGGCAATGCATGAACAGCACCTCGGTGGGAAAACAAACACCATCGTCTCACCTGGATTAGCCATCAAGCTGTGGCCAACATGCATAGCATGGAAGAAAGTGGATCATTGAAAGATAGATGAGGCAAGTGCCAGCAGGTTCCGGCCAGCATTCCATCATTTCAAGACAACCGAGGTCGGTTGTGCACCCTCTCAGTTGTCCCGCCATTGATCACCACCCCCAGCATTACGACAACTTCTGAAATGCCCTACAGGTGGTGCAGCAGTGTTGCCTGTCGTGGGATGTCGTGCATAGTCAGTTTAGCTTTAGGTTGGAGGCCATCGCTAGTTGGAGGCCATCGCTCTTAGGTTGGAGGCCATCGCTGGTAGGTTGTGATGTAAGCCCCGTTACCACGTCCTCGTGCAGCGCCCGCCTGGGCCTGGGCAGGTTTGAGCCAGTTGATGGTGGTAACAACAGGGCTTGCCGAGGCAACAGCCCAAGCGACAACTCAGCCAATTACTATACAGCGGCTGAGCTGCAACAAGTAACAAGGTAAATGGTGCATAGACGTTCGGCAAGGAACAAAGCACACACAACCCGATTTCATCAGACATGCTGCTTGTTAAAGTGTGGCTAAGTCAGAGCGGGTTCAGTTTTTGCCCAGCCGGAACTCAGGTTGTATCCGGAATCAGCTCAGTGGAGGCCTGCGAGGAGCAATGCATCCTAAAGGAGGAGCCTCAGACTTGCTGTCGTTTGTGTTGCAGTAATGAGATGTAATGTGGGCTACAGAAGGCTGCAGCACTGAGCACCTGAAGTTTCCCGCACAGTGCTACAGTGGGCCAGGACTGTGTGGGCATCGAGCACAGCGGAAGCCGCTGTGAGGTTTGGACCCGTCCGGATGGCATCGCTGCATCCATTTCTTTGGCGACTCAGCGGACTCAGTATGGTGGACCTGCTTGAGGTCGCGGGGTGCCATTTTGTATTCAGTTGTCCTATCACTGAGGATGGCTTCACTTGCTTGCGCTTGGTGACAAGTTTGACTACCACGTGGCTTAGCTGAGTTTTTTTGGACTTTTGAACCTCTTGAAGGGTTGCTAAAAATGAAACCATTCTCGTCTCATGCCCTGTCCCCTGAAAGAGTTCAGCTGTCAAGGACGGATCCAATTTCACTCGACTTCGAGCCGGTTGATGGTGGGACTGGCCGTGCCTGTCGTGGAGCCACAGCGACTGACAATAATCCTGGCAACTATGACGTGATTCAAGGCACTGATGATGCAACTGCAGTATATTTATTCAATACTAATCACTTTTTTGCAATTTATATAGTGCGTGCTTCTCTCCTTGGTCCATCAGCCTTCGCCGAGAGGGGTTTTTCGTCTTGGCGATTGCCAAGCAGCATGTGTTCAGGCAAGGCTTTGAGGGACCACAGTATATACTCAAATATTGAAAATGACTGCGTCAACTTGCAACTTCAACTCTTTTGCTTGTTCAATTTTGTTCATGTTGACCGCGTGGAGGCGCCTTCATGTGTGGGCATTGAGTTCAGTGCTGGTCGATGCGAAGTATGGACCCGCACGGACGGAATTCAAGCGACCATCGTGGCCTGGCTAGAGACATCCATGCATCGCTAGGTTAGACCACGGCCTGGCTGTCAATATGTTAGACCATGCATCGCTTCTAGGCACTGGATGGCTTCACCTGCATGAGCACCTCGATTGAAAGCCTGAGAACGAGGATATGCATTCGTTCCATTCGGTAGGCTCACAGACACAGCAAACATTATTGAACATTCATGTCATGTCAGACGAAGAGTAAGTGAAATTCCATGGGTGTCCCATATGCTAAGGCTATCGTTCAAGTTCAAACAGGCGAAAGCTCTTCTTGGCTCCCTAGAGGCTCAATCTCACAGGCGAAGCGTTAACTCGATTGATAGGGTTTAGTGGAAGCTTGAGCACATTGACAGGTTAGATTGAATTTTGCTTCCTTCGTGTTTGAACATTAGAGATGCAGGGACAGAAGCGCTTTGTACCAAGTTGCCATTCACAGGCGCTGCACGAGCTCAGCCACAAGAATGCCTGTGTGTGTGGGTCTATGTTTACAGCGTTTTGCAGCAGGAAAGCATCTGCCTACGTCCACCAAGAATCCAGCTTTTTGTCTTGGTGGAGGAAATGGTAGCACATATGCCAGTGGTGTGATATTGAGATCCAAGCTTACAGCTTGCACTCTTAAAGATTGCCTGTACAGTGTCCAGGCCTCATGGCTCCAGCGCTCATAGTCGGGGCTGCATTTGTATAGCAATGGCGGCCTATCTATTTTGCGCTTGATCCGTGCGGATAGGGTTGGGTCTAGACCATGCCTTCGCGACAAACATCGGGCACATGCTTTGCGTCATGCGAGCTCGAAGCATGAAGTTCCTCAAAAGTGAAATGGCACAGGAACCATTGACAGAAGTGAAGGTGAGCATTGGCTCAAGGACTTTGTCAGCCAACCTGAAGCCCAAGCCCATGTTGCCACAGGAATGTCGAGAATTGAATCTTAAGATTTGGATTTGGATGATACATCTGGTCTTCACATGCCGACCAGTTGCATTGAGTGTTACAGTGGGATCTCCTCAAGTCCCATCAGTCGCTCACCACTCGGTCCAATGGCACCGCCGTCTCCGCCAAGGCGGACGGCACCTTCCACACCAAACCAGGGCTCAGCACGGGGCTTTTCGATCGGCGATTCGAAGAGCCGCTGGTTGAGGCGGAAGCGTGATACGGTGCAAAGGGAAAATTTTGCTGACCTGGTGGCAACTGACTCGCATTTTAGCGTGAGAGAGAGGGAGGGAGGGAGAGCGAGAGAGAGGGAGGGAGAAAGGGAGAAGCAAACAAGTCGTCAGGACATGTCAGGACTATTGAAACTTAGGGACCGAAGTGCCAATCAAACGGGGTTTGCCAGAGGTTTTGCTCAAAATATTGTGGGTTGCTTTGCTCGAAGAGCCTTGAAAACGCGAAACGCAAGATGTCAAGGACCAAGCATTCCAAGGACGAAAAACGCCGCCACCTCGTGAAGTCCAAAGAGTTCTCCCTCGATGACGGAAGCTTCACTCCAGGAGAAGTTGAGGTGAGATGTCTCATGATGTCTCCTACCAAATCCAGAAAGAGTCCTTTGAAGAAGTTCAGAGTCACCATCAGCCGTGATTTCTTCATCAAGACTAGCCATGTATTGGGAGAGCGGATGACCTCGCATGAGCTGGGCAGCTAGGATCACGAGTGAAAGTTGCAAGTCGTCAGGGGTCTCAAAATTCATATTGCACGGAAAGCTTCAACACACTCACCCAAAACGATACCGATAAGGTGATGGACAAGCAAAATCAGCAAACACGGTAATGGTCACAGTAATGTTAAGTTTGTTAAGCTTCTCATTGTTTTGCAGGTGGTGCTGTTTGACGTGTACTCACTGGACAGCTTTGTTGCTTGTTGTGCGGCCCGAGCAGCATTGACGCAGCATGCCCAATTTGAAGGAGTGACCATTCTTGCAGACGAGCGACTTTATTATGGCACAATGATGCCGAAGTAGATGTATACATACACCTCTAATTTTTAATGGAGAATGTGCCCTGGGAGTCTTGTATATTATTTACAGTGTGCTCCGCAATGAAGATTGAGGATATTTCATTGCACTTCAGGATTCAGTGTTCTGTGCACGTGCTTTGCATACTTGTTTGCATATACAGTGCCGAGTCTGTAAGTTTTGTATTTTGTTTAATGTTTCTAGATTCTAGTACGTTGAGCAAAGAGCGCTGGCATCAAAGCTGTTCCAAAGCTCTATGGACTGCGCTATGAATGCTGCAACCTGACTGTTGAGGAGTCACCAGGAATGGCAGCGTTGAACAATTAGAGATAGACGTGACGGACAAGGAAGGGTGGCACGGCATTGATTTCCAAACAAGCGCACGGGGTCCGTCCATCGAACTGCAGGTAGTGGCAATGGTGGGTGTATGCTGGGACTATGAAACCATGAGAGATTTGTGCCTTGCCTTTCGCTATTGGTTTGTAGGCCATCGCTTCTAGGGTGGAGGCCAACGCTCTTAGGTTCCTTTTGTTGCTATTACGTGGATGTTAGCTTGGCCGCTTTGGCTTCGCTTTCGCTTGCCTTGTCAGAAATGCCATGAAACGCCGCTTCATGGATCCCTCGGTCCTTTGAGGGTCTTTGATGGTCTGTGAGGTACTGTATGTCATATCTTGGGTTTGCGTCGCACGTTCGCCTGGTATTCTGATATATGTGTTGCCTTTCACTGACTGTTTCGGCTCAAGCTGAAGTTGGAGCAACGCACGACGACATTTGTTTGGAGACTTGACTGAAATCGAGGAATGCGGTGAGGGGCTCTGGCAGAGGGCCGGTAGAGAAAGTCAAGATGTTGAGCGAGGGAGTGAGGTTTGCATGAGTGGCCAGCTGTGCCGAAGTTGAAAATTGGGACCCAAGTCTTTGGCTACTAGTGCAGAGTTTTTCTGTGTTTTGTTCCCTCATATTGGCCTTGTGAAGTATTGCTACAATGGGTGCATTATATCTATATATATACACATTTTCGTGTGAAAAATTTTTGTGTACTAGTACTCACAGACTTCAGCCTACACTCCCCGAAATAGTCATGGAAGTGGAGAACCACCTGTTCGTAGAGGAAAATGGTCATGCAAGAGGCCATAATGTTCCATCATTAATTCAGGGAGTGTACCTTTGTGTTGCTGCACAAGACCAGCATCAGTGAAGAATCCAAGTGAAGCTTTCAGCGCTCAGGATGCATGCCACCACAAGATCAGAATTTCGCTCTGGAGCAGGCCCAGGGCATGGCTGGTGGATGGCAGCCTAGGTCCCAGAGTCCAAACATGTTGGAACACATTACACATGTTGGAGGGTATTTCTGAACAGGCTTTGCATGGCGGCGATCCATCACATATTCCAGCGGATGAGACTCTTGGCCGCGAAACATGCGTTTTTTGTTTGGAGGGATCGACTGCGAGACAGGATCGTACACTTAAAGAGGGGTGCTGTATGAGATTGAAGTCTTTGTTGCGCCCGCTGGACAGCTGCGATATTCAGGATATTTATCTCTTTGTTGGACCCGCAGCTGCAGCAAGTGTGTGGGTGTGTGTGTGTGTGTCTGTGGATAGTCGTTAGGGAGAGAGAGCTGTTTGTTGCATGTGCTGTGACAAGTCACGTTCTGCCATCCTGAATTGGGTGAGGATCGTTTGCGGGAGGAGCACGAGCTTCAAATCAACTCATTGAGCACAACAATTGTTGAGCTGACCAAAAAGTTGCGGAAAGAGACAGGTCTGAAGCTGAATCGAATATTTTGTGTGCCCCAAAATATGTGGAGAATGTCCTTGATTTTGTGACATTGAGTGCCGAGTGCTGCAGCTTTAAGCCTGTGACAGCTGAAAGTCATGCCCAGGCACAAAGAATGTGCAGATTTTCGAGCATGCTGAACAGAACAACTACTTTGATGAAGAGAATGGTCCCAGCAAAGGTTCGGGCCTGAACGCTCAAACTGTCATTTGGGCCTTCCCAACACCAAACCATTTGGGCAGAAAAAGTGCTGTGGCAAGTGTTTTTTTCTGAAAGATGCTTGCCGTTTTCTGGCTTCAAAAGGTCATGATGACGCAGCAGAGTTGAGCGCTCGAAGAGAGGCCGCTACAGTTGGCATATTATATGTTTCTGTCCAACGTGCTGTGTTGGCAGGGATCGGGATCGCCCTCGGGAAGCGGCTCGCCAAAGCTCATGCGAAAGCAAACGCAAGGAGTGGCAGGCTCACAGTGCCTTGGTTGCGACGGAGAACGCGACAACCTCTCCGATCCGGAGAGTTGGCAGATGAATACCATGAATGTCAAAGTATCAGATGTTGCTGCGATGTTGCTGGGTGTTTTCTTGAGGTTTGCACACTTGGGCATCCTCCAGAGCAATGCCCATTGGTATGGAGAACAGCACGAGAGTTGGTACATGAAATTCCGACGGTTTGTGCAACTTGGCCTTATCGCATGGCATCACCAAGTTTGTTAACGAGAAGCTATTACTAGTAACAATGTAACGAGGGCATCGCTACTGGTAACAAGGGCATTACTATGCACTACTACTAGTAGCAAGGGCTCACCAAGTTTCGTATCCGCAATCCTTGGCTGCTGCCCCAGGCAAAGTGCATTGTTCGAAACCACTTTCGCCGGCCTCATCGCTCCTTGGATATTCTGTCGTCAGATTCTTTCCTTCCCAGTGGAAAGTGTTGGAGAGTTGGGGACTCCTGGTCCGAGGTGTTCAATGCACTGGTGATGGCTGCTGATGTCCAACGAGCAGGCGAGCGATCTGTCAGCATGTTGCCCAGAGTGCATCACAGAATTGAAGGATCCGAGGATCCTCAGTCTGTTTCCAGGTTGATGCATGGTGCCATTAGATAACATTATATATAATAATTTTTATATAAACCTGTTTATCCTTTGTTCCAGGCGTCGACATCGGTGCAAGTTTGGGGTATGCCGACTACCAAAGAGTGGAGACATCCTTGCCTTGGGCTGAGTCAGCTTTTACGGTGCTTGAGCCTTGGTTCAGGCAGTGATTGTTGAGGGTCTCTCAATACGACCACAGGGGGGGTCCTTGCGTGTGTGATAGCAAAACAACAAGGTGAACCAGCCATGGCAATTATGGGCGGTTGGGAAGTGTAGATATGTCCTTAACCTCTCCTTAACAATCTTAACTCAGACTAAGTGTGACTCTTGTGATCCCTTCAAAAGGATGCAGCTTGCTGGGGAGTTCCAACAATTCTCTAACGGAGTAAGAGGCAAATAGGTTTTCGCTTGTTGATTGGCTTAGACTGGAATGCACTATATAGAATACAAAATCCCTCCAGTGCGTATAGAAGCATCAGAATGCTGCGGACTTCATTGGAAATAATTTCATCTCAGCCAAACGGGGTACGTGGACAACTGTTTTTGAAAGGCAGTTGGAGTTGGACCCATAAGGAGTTTCCATTTCATGTTGTGCTTGGATGTAAGGAGTATATTTTTGGTGTGGTGCCTTGACTGAAAGAATGCACTGGCTGCAAAGTTTGCGGAGCATGCAACAGATCAATCTTTCAGAATGTGCTGCGAATGGAAAAGTGCAGAGAATGTGAGGCCTTTACGATGGAAATATTGTTGAAGATTTTAGCGCTGGGCTTGTCCTTCGCCAAAGACCTATGGAACTGGTTCGATACCTTCCTGGCGACTTGTCCCCCACAGATCTGGCAAGACGATGTGATAGACTCGTTTTGGAAATTTTGAGCATTGTTGAGCCACGCGTTTGCCTTCCGACAGGTTGCCTGTTGGTACGTGGACACAGTCGGGCAGGATTTGCTTCCTGTGAATACCACGCTCCTGCGCTTGCTTAGACTGATGAGGCTTCTCCGCTTGTTGAGGCACCTGGGACTTGCACGTAGGGTGCTGGGTCCATGAATAATTACCTTCCTTATGGAACAGTACAGTATAAGTATAAGCTGCATGCTTGGATGCCATTTGCTTTCTGAGGTTGGTGCGGCTCATAAAAACATTTGAGCCTTGGTGCAGCAAGCGGCAACAGATTCCACTTAGTTTTTTGTGCTGAATGTTGCTTCAGATTTCGCGTCCTGTTCAATGGGATTGGCACAACGAGGATTCACTGTATTTGATGACAACTGCTTTGAAGGGCAGCGCTTTGATTTTGACCTGGGCTTGTGTCTTGGATGCAAGGGCAACACAATTGCAGCAACAGGAATCACCATTAGGTTGGAGGCCATCGCTATTAGCTTATAGCAACAACCTTGATTTGCAGCACAACGTTCCCTCCAGCGCTCCAGTGTTTGGAGGATACATCCGAGGCGTGCTTTTGTTGGTTCTCCAGGCAGGACACGGACCCTATGACTATGCAAATAGTCATGCTGAACTGCCAGATGCACAACACATGAGGCAGCAACTCGTGTCTTTCAGGTTCTTATCGCACTGCTACTGAACCAGGTATTGTTACTCGCCTGCAAGAACCTTTGCATTGGCTGTTTGTCATCTAGAACGACCGACCTCCGATCCAGGTATGATTCATATTTGGATGAGGAGAGCGTAGACATAAATGACAGACTAGACGCTTGTTTGCACTCAAACTATCAAGCAACTATTGAAGTGCCAGATGAGTAAGCCGCACCCGCATAGATTTGGATGACAAGTCTTGACATGACTAACTCAGGATGTTTATGAATATTTTGGAACGTTTGGCGCTTAAGAGAGATTGGTGGGATTGTTTTTGGACGACCTTCCATCGGCTTGCTCTCATTTACTCGACTTCATCAATTGGTGCAAGGATCAGCTTCAAACGTACCGAGGTTCACGCGGTCTATGTTGTCCATGTTTGAGATCACCCTGGGGAACTGGCCTCCGGTGTGCAGGCAGGTGCCCCAAAGATTCCCGGCGGAGAGAAAAGAAGGAAAAAGGAAAGAGATGAGAATGAAGGCAAGTGAAGGTAAGGCCGGTAAGGCCTCCTGAAGGGCCTCGCCTTCCTTTTTTCATCTTTGCTGTCTTCTCTTCATAGGATGACCTCCAGTTCGGAGGAGCGGATAGTGAATGTTCATGAATGTTCGCCGCAGGCGCTTGTCAGAGAAGGTGTCTGAGCCTTGCTGCAGAAAGCCACAATGACACCAGTAAAACCAAGAGCTGGAAACCCGGTAATTTACCTCTCTGTCAGGCGTCGTGTTGCTTGAAAATGAAGAAAGACCTGTAATCTTTCTGCGACACGTGTATATATAACAATTAAATACAATTAAGGTATATAGTTATATAAGTTATAGTCCTATTGCAGCATTCCGGATTCCAACCATTTGAGGATGACAACTAAGCGCAAATGACGGGCAAGTCCACGAGAGAAACGATAAGTGAACCCCTCGCACACATCCTTGTGAATCAGGAGTGGTTTATGTTGTTATGCATCTTGCACAAGCTGGTGATCGGTTTCGCGGTGGTGGGTGTGATCAACGGCGTCTTCATTCAGGAAGGGATTGGCGCCTCCACGTCCTTGTTGTGCAGTGTTTTGTCTTGCGTAGTGCTTCCTGCTGTGTTGCCGTTTTCGTCTGGAAGCAAAGTAAAGGAGACCTTCAAGGTGGCATCATCGGACAACCAGATCATGATGAGGCGCTTTGCTAGCAAACAGAGGCATTGAAGCTGACAAACCTCGTGGTTTCATGGTCTTGAATCTAGCGACAAACCATGTCGCCCGTTGTGTAGTTCCGTGTGTATGTGCGGCGTGACGGGTCCTGTGCGTAAGTATGGGCTGCGTTTTTCGGGCACCTGCTGGCTGTGCTGCATAGAGCAGTGAAGTTGAGGCAGAAAGAGAGGTCTTCAAACCTTCATGAAATGAAAATGCAGCTTGGCTGGCAAGCACGGTATTTCTGCGGCTTCTTCTAATGGCACAGATTGAACACCTTCAACCCAGTGCATGTAAATGCTAGGTTCTTAGTTGTTCCTGGGACACTCAGGAGACAACTGTTCCTGGAGGCAGACAATGATGGTGAGAAGCTGAGAATCAAAGGGCACTCCGTACCAGGGGGCACATGATCTCGCGCCGAATCGGATCTCTTAGGTGATGGATTTGTCAGCGCAGAGGAGTGGAGGGAACTGGTCACTCAACGGCAGACTTGGCCGTTTCTTCGAAGTGTCACGGTCCTGGCCCATCTCGAGGTAAGCCATCCAGCTGTACAGCTTTGGCTCGGTTCAATGGACCTAGATGCAGCTGACGTTGCCCGGCAAGACTCTGGAGGATTTGCAATCTTTCATCTGAAGTGCTGTTAATTTAGTACTTCTTCCTGTCCCAACGCTCAACAAGCTTCGTAAAAGCAGGCAGTCTTGAGGCTTCTTAGTGCTAGGTCATTGGTCAACACAGTAAACAGACATAAACATACTATATAGTCATTGTGACTATAGCTTAGTCCTTACCAGGGTGAACTCCACCGGTGTCACCAGAAGGCTATCCAACACGGGTCGCTGGTGTTCAAGCTTTGGGCACAGGTCTCCCAAAATCTTTGCGGATTGGATGCTGGTGTTCACATCCCTTCACTCTGTTCAAATTTGACCTTGAGGCAGATGGTCTCTACAAGTTGATACACGACTTGGATCAAGATGGAGACCTGACCATGGATGAATTGATTAGGCCCACATTTGTTATGACACATGCTGGTAAAGCTGATAGTCGATGTGATAGCCTCATTTGCATATGCCTTGCAAGCACAGGGGCGTTGCACGGCTCAAAGGGGCGGCGAGAAGCTATGACTTGCAGATGCTCCTGCGGCAGGTCGGACACAGTTTGTTACAATCAATTGTAAGTCAAATTTGCAATTGCTGAGATTGCATTGCCCGTGAGAGGACCAGCACGACAGCATGAGCTAGAACTTTTATGTACTTATGAACTTTTGTCGTTGTTTTGTGCGATTTTCGGCATGAATTGACTGATGGCTAGACATTTAGGTTTCGACTTGACAAAGCAACTGGCCCTCACCGACTCGGCAGGTTTCGGCACTCACCGACTCGGTGGACAATTTAAACAAAAGACTCGTCAGCAAGAGTCGGGGGAGCTTGGAGACGATGGGTCAGGACTCGAGCATTCCACAGCGTTTGAGTTTTCTGATGCTGTCTGCATTTTTGGCATACGTAGTTGCTTTGGTCAGCCGAACTCATAGGGCAGCTCATGTGCAGTCCGACAGGGCAGCCCTGGCGTTTGTCAGTACCGTCAGACAGGGCCACGACGATGGCATGTCACGCCAGGATTCAGAGAACATTAATGACACTGGCGGCGAAGGACAATTGGCTCATTTGATGAAAGGAGCTGCGTGGATTGATTCTTCAGTGGAGAGATCTCCCAGAGATTTCATGCTTCACATGTCGTCCCAGCACTCACGAATGTGATTGCTTCGACAGCATCCTTTTCGGCCTTTGTATGCTCCAACATTGCTTCAGGGAAGACGTTTTGTTTCAGGAAGGTCCAAGTGGGTTTTCTCGGAGCCTTCCGAAAGGTCACAAAGGCTGCAGAAGAGGTTTCCCGCCAAGAAATAGTTTCACCTATGGCTTGTTTTTTCCAAGCCGCACAAACTCACATCCGGAGCACAAATCGAAGAAAGGGTGAGCCGAGCCACGGCCGTGCTTCAAATGCCGTGCTTTCACTGCTTTCACCACACATACAGGCAAACTGGGTGGCACCTAGCATGTTAACCTACATGACTGCCGACTACCACAACGTTTGCATTTTGGTTTATATAGTATTATATAGTATTCCAATGCTCAAACATGGGGACAGGGGGGCCGCGCTCGCGCAAGTTGCTGCAAAGAGTTCAGAGAAGTAGCGATGTTTCGTTTGCTCACCGTTCACCTCACCGTCCCGCCAATCCAGGTGCTGCGACCGAGCCAAAAGTATTTTGGTGCTCGAGTCGGAAGATTCGCTCCCGGCACCTCGATGGACGACGATTTGGGATGAAAAGGGGGTCCATGGACATTGTGGCACTCTGGGCCAATTGAGGGCCCTTGTTGTTGAACAGCATTTTGTGGCTTGTTGTCAGCCACTTGTGACATGCACCGACGACTAAACACTCGTGACACTCGTGAAGCAGAACTTAGGAGGTTGAGAAGAGTGTGACTTGGCATTTCAGTGAGGATAGACAGACATGGTCAGAGACAGTTCACTCTTAAATAAAAGGTGTTTTGACCAAAGTCTTTATAAGGAACTCATCAACCTGGGCCTCTTGGCAAGATCTATTGACAGCTGTCAGTCCTGGTGCACTTGGATATCTTCAGTTGTGCCGAGTTTTGCCAAGCCTCAGGTGTATGGATAGAAGCGGCTTGCTTCAAGTGGAAGAAGAATCAGAGTACGAACACTCGAACAATCCCAACATTTCCTGAAGCTTGATCTAAGACTGATTCTCGATTTGGTGCTGGAGTTCTGGCCTGGGAGTTCTTCAATAAAGGAGAGCCGGTTCCTTTGTTACTGCTACTCACCTGCAAGTGAAAGATAGCAGACCGGACATCGGCAGTGACATCGGCTTCGCCGCGTAGCCTTGGCTATTTGTGCTTTGTGCACCTCAAGGCGAGCTGTGGAAGACATTCATTTAGGACGTGGGGTTTTCCTCGATGGTAAGGCCAGCAAGTTTTCTTCATGTTGAAGCAGGCATTTTTGCGGTTGAAATACGGTTCTTTTGTGGCAAGGCCATGGAAGATGGAATCGATGCGCTGCTCGAGGACGACGATATTGAGAATGTGACCCTTGCAATCCAGGTGCGGCATCCAATCTGTGGCAGTGGTGTTTGCGAGAGGGGTTGTTGCAGCATGTTGCAGCCGCATTGGCAAGATTTTAGGGACCTTGTGCCGATGTGATCTATGAACAAAACTGCCTCGAACATGTTGTTCTTGCTCCAAGCCTTGGTTTCGTCAGGGGCTCCTATGTCCACTTGGGCTCCTTGGCCTTCACAGGACTTTTCCCTTAAGTTGCACCAGCGTAGCTATTGGGTTCAACATCGAACAGAGACAACGTAAGTCGCTCCAAGGTACCGGGAGAAAATCTTCCAAAAGTTCCACAGCCTGCTGACAGACAGCAAGGAAACGAAGCGTAGGCTACAGACCATTGCTGACAGAGGCCTGGGCCGCAGGCAATAGGATGGGCAATGTTTGCTCCGATAAGGGAGGTACGTCTTTCATAGTTCTTCGAGGTCAGGGATAGAACTGAAAAGATGATAGGCAACTTTGACCCTTGATGAGGGCGTGCGAGAGAACCGGAGATCAGAAAGGACCAGCTCGAAGCCGTCAGTAAGAGCGTGGAAACTGGGCTGCACGAAGCTTTTCTCGATGCCTCATGGGGAGACCACCCCTTTTGTGGTACCTTTTTCAGCTGCAGTTCATGGTGAGGTTCGGGTGTTCCGTCACTTTCCAGCATGGAAGTGCAACATGGTGATGATGACTTCGAAGTTTGAAGGTCGGGTGGCTGAGACTTGGCTGAAGAGTTGCCACCATTGCTTGTGAGGCCATCCCAAAGAGGGTGTGTAGCTAAGGAATTTCTTGCAGAGAGCCTGGCACAACGCTGCCAAGGCAAGGTAAAGCATGGTAAAGCACCAGAGAGCCTTATATCCTGATAAGTCCTGCTTGTTACTTTTTTTCCGGGCGTGTGAGGCATGGATCTCCCTCAGACCAAGTTGGGCTAAACAAGTGTGCAAGTCAACCTTTGAAAGCCACCAGCCGCTAGCAGCTAGCAGGTCAAGAAAACCGCTGCATGGGCGCAGTCCTGGAAATGAAGGAAGGCTCCACTGTACGAGTCACATTGCGAAGCCTAGATGGAGGCGTGTGCGAATCCTGAGACGACAGGTATATATAATATCTAGATATACCGCACACTTCATTGCTTCTGTCAACACAGTTTTGCACACCTAGCACAGGTCCAGATGTATCTGAAGTGGCTCACCGTTTTGAAGGTTTCTTGGCTGCGCTGCAGCAGTGTAGAGTGTAAAGGGCATGACATGCTTCGGCTGAGGATGTGGAACCGGCACACGAGCCTTCTTCAAAGTCAGGAGCGATTTGCTTGAGAGAAGCTTGACCAGAAATCCGGAAGCTTGACAATAAGATGCTTCGGATTACCTCACCGTTGGCTGAGGCAGTTTGGAACAGCCTGAAATCGTTTTGCCCCTGATATGCAGAAGGGTTATGCTAGTGCTGATGTTTAGCTTCTCCTGGAGTGAATGCAGCGAATGGTTCCTTTGTTGTGTTATCGATTTGCCTCCCACGCAACGACAGTGTTTTCACTGTGCCTTTGGTTTTAATTACTCTAAGGCGCGAAGCCACTGAGCAGCAAAAAGACAGCTAGAGAACAGTTGATGTCTAGGCTTTTGAGACAGCCCATTTCTGGAGCCGCTAGTAGCCCCCAGATTGTTTTGGTGGGGTGCTCATGGTGCGCATTGATCCAATATTTAGACTTTCTTCGTCTCCAAAGACTTGACGAGGTGAACATGCCATCCTCGGGGTCGTGCCTGGCGCTTCGTCCCACGGAGAAAGTCACAGTCATTCTACGTGACGAGCACTATCAACCGTCGCCCCAAGACGATTGGCTGCTTGGGAAAATCAGGGAAGAGTGGGAGAAGTGGGATGATCTCGCTCACTTCTCCGTCGACTTTGTCTCGCTCACTTTCTCTCTGTTGGTGCTCCTTAGATTTGGACATATTTGGACTCAGGTCGTGGGGCTTCAAGGTGGATGAGCCAGAGAAGGCCTCAAAGTGTCGAAAGACCTGTGAAATGCATCCGCCATCGGCTGCCTGTGTCCAGGAGGGCTGGTTTCCGACATTGTCCTATTCGCTTTACATTGCTTTGCGTGCAGAGTCTGCGGACTTGCATAATGATCCAGGCACGCTTGCCACTTTCGAGCGACGAAACAATGCTTCAATATGCTTCACCTTTTAATCTTCCGTGGGCCCCTGGTTACTGGTGGGATTTTCGCTTGGCAATCAACATACTGTAGGTGTTTGACTTGCGATCGCAAGGACACCCAACTCTTACCTCATGAAGTGGGGCTGTGATTCTGTAGATGAACTCTGGCTTTTTGGAAAACTGCCCAGAACATCCCCCAAGCCTTTGCTTGAGTGTTGATATGGTTTGGATTACAGTATGTAGAGAGATGGGGTTCATTTCCTGTTCATGAATGCTTATTTACAAAATCACAAGATCAGCACTTTAGACTTAGACAGTATGATTGCACTTATAAAATTAAAATAGAAAATAGTTACAGTATTTTGTTTGCAATATGTACTGTTGTCCATCCTTGCCTATACAAAGTCAAAGCCTGAAAACTCACACCAGGAGATCATCAAGCTTTTTCCTTGGCCTGTGTTTATTTAATGGGGATTCTCTGGGGCGGGGGCTTCTCATGATCCTTCTACAACACTCCACAAACATCTCCCAAGAAGACATCCCTACAGAATCAAAACATGTCAAACATACAAAATCCCATTCACTACAAAATGGTCAGGGAGAAGGTTCGTTCCTGAAGTCCTTTTCTTGAGCTTCTGAGGCTGTGAGGTGTGATTTTGCAAACGCCCTTTGCATCTATGCATTTTTGAATTTGCGGATTGAGATGACTACTTCAGAGGCTGTGAGGTCAGAATCTGTAAGCTTCACTTGGTATGCCGTGAGGCTGGGTACTACAAAATCAGGTAGCCCAGCCTTCTTCCGAACTCACCCGAGGATACAGATAGTTGTTACAATTTCACTTTTGCGGAGGCTGTTGCTAGGACAATCTTTGACATATCCAACAGGGAGCTAGTGAGCAAAACTAGGGGTTCCTTCAAACTTGATAGCCACCTGCTGAAATGCACAACAGGTTGTATAATTACAGCTTGTGCAGGCGTCAGAAGTGTGAAAGAGGGCGATATTTTGGTGGCGCACGTGCAGAGGGGCAAGTACGTCTTTGGCAAGCTTTTGCCGAAACTTGCTTTATGATGCTGTTCTGAATCCTACAAACACAGAATCCCGACGTGTAGATTCTAGATGCGTCCAGCTGTACGAGGCGGGGACCTGTGGATGCTCCTCCTCCAACTGCATGGAAGCGGCCTTGGAGATCATTTCTGTGCGGCACATGCTTCTAGAATTCTTGCACCAATGTTTGGCGAGGTTCCCATTCGGCCCTTTCAAAGAAGAGCTTTTCAAGCGATTGCATCCCAGCAGTGCAGCGGTAGCTCTGGAAGAAGCCGGCTTTTTTGCCAAGCCGACTTCTCAGTTCTCCGATCAGAAGTGCCTTCCGGGCCAGACATGCGGTCTGAGGCCAGAGATCTTGGCATTCGAGGCACGGACAGATTCAGGACGAGGCTACCGATAGGCCACGATCCGCCAAGCTGCAAGAGCTGCAGATAGTCGGTGTCATTCGAACTGTGTCAAAGACTGTCACAAGCGTGCTCGTTGCGGAGTTGAAGCAGGGATTCAACTCATTTCACTTGAGCTGCTGCGTGCAGCGACAGGATCTTAGGACAGCCAGAGCTTCGGGAAGCGCTTGGCAAAAAAAGGGCCCTCCATTGTCCTCCAGCTAGCATGATTGCTCACTCATGTCATGTCCCACCGTTGTTGATCATGTTTTGACCTTGTTCTCAAGATGCTTCTCAGTCATAGCCAAAACCAACTTTGAAGTCCACAAGGGCAGAAATCAGCTAAAGGGTTCAGGAATCCTTGCACACGACAATATTCTATGCAGCTCTTCGCAGCGATGCTTGACACAGTAAGTAGGAGGGCATTTGATTCCTCAAATGCAAAGAAGTGGATTGTGACATATGTCAGTATGTCATGAATACCGAGTGCATTCAACTATATTCAACTTCTATGGCGACTCCAACTCAGTTCGTTGGTCTTCATGCGCAAACCTGATAGCCTCCAGTGTTGTGTTACCAGATCGGCTTGGCCATAGGAATCCTGTGGCCATGTATGGATGAGATCCTCCAGTCTGTTGCAGGCCAGGAAACCTCAAAGAGGCACAGGACATCTTGGTCCAGTCTCCATTTTTGGGGTGAAAGGCAATCCTGCCTGCTGGCATGACATCTTCGACTTCGACTATTGCTGTGACCGCCGACATGGGCCAAGAGGCGTGGAAGAGCACGAAACAGAATGCCTTGCAACGCTGATGGTAATGTTGTTTTGGAAAGTATATAGTGGGTTGCTATATCACTAGTTACATATAGTTATATCTTGTATCGCTATGTGCACCTTGGAGGCAATGCAGAATGCTGGGATGGCTATTACAACTTCAATCACTGCCACCGGGCTTTACCTACTCAAGGTGCAAGGCGCCACTCACAGCCTTATTTGCATTGGGACTTCCAAAGTTGTTGGGCCTCCAGTGATTCAAATACGTTGGCTCCGAGTGTGAAGATGTTGGAAGCATACTTGAGCACTTTTGGAGTCAAAAAAGTCAGCCTTGGGGGCCCAGGTTGTTATACCCCCTTACATGCTGCTACTGCACCTGAATGCTGGGAAGAGGCCAAGTATTACCTCTCAAAGTCTGAGGAGGCTGCAGCAAAGCATCCAGCTCTGAAAGTTGAGGAGACCTAACTCAACCTGAAAGGGAGACCGACCTTGTCAGATTGAAATGCAACCAGAACTTTCACCAGAAGGCTTAAACTTAGGGAGACAGAGAGAAGGGGAGAGAGAGAGAGAGAGAGCAGGATGTGAAGACATGTAAACACGACTAAGGCGAATTTGGCCACTTTCTGCTGCCATGCATCATCTCTCAGCTCTGCGGCTTGTTGGGGTTCAACGAGACCCACTGGATCTCCAGAGCTGAGAGATGCGTCCACAGGAGTCCGGGAATTGTCACAGAGGTCAAGCAATGATAGTTTTCCAGTGAATGCTTGGGTCATTTTGGATCATTTGGTGCGTTTGGCTCAAAGCCTGTGTGGCTCCATTCTCACACGTTAGAGTAGGCTAAGGCTGAGATATGCTAAGGGGCCAAGTCATAGCGAAACTTGAGTCACACTTGCCTTCTGGAAGATACCGTAGACAAATAGCTGAGCACACCTCCAACATGCAGCATTGAAGGAAAACTGTCAGCTGTTAGGAATGGCGGAGGGCTTAGATGATGGGAGAGGATGCTATCCCGGTCAGCGACTTGGTGATGAGAAGAAGACGCTTCAGGGACAGGTTCTTCACAAACGGTCTTGCGGGAACAAGCTTCTTTTCCTCCAGCTAAAGGTCGATGTGACATCCGATGAATGTTCAAGTCTAGAGGCCATATTTTCATTTGATGTTTATGGCACTGAAGTTCGAGAGGTGAGAAAGCACATTTCGGTGGGAGACGTGGTGCGATGTGTTGGGACATGGCGTGATTGCGGGCAGATCATGGACGTATTCTCATACTCAATTCAACAACGATGGGCAGATGTCAGTGGCGGAGCCTCTTTTCAAGCTCCAGAAGCAAAGTGTCCTGCAAAGCGAGATGCCAAGCACGCTGCAGAGAGAGGCTCATCCACGACACATGCCACAGACGTAGATCCACCACCGGCTCCGTGTGAGATGCAATCACGAAGGAGAGCGTTGTGCAAATTCTGGATGAGCAATGGTACATGCATGAGATCGCAATGTGATGGCTTCCACCCACAGGGTGAAGAGCTCAAAGAAGCCAGAGTTCGTTGGAAACAAGAGCAAGCTGAGCGTTTGCTTCTCAATACTCAACCAGATGATCCACACCTGGAGAAAAAGAGTCATGCTCATCGTGCTTCAGTTTTTGCTGACTGGCTTTGTGAAGTCTACAGCCTCGAGAAACTCCAAAACTGCGGAGTTTTGGACATTGCCGGTGGGCGAGGAGAGTTAGCCTTCGAGTTGAGTGTCAAGCGTAGCATTCCTTGCACCACTCTGGATCCACGCTGCCCAGGCGGCGGCCACCCACAAAGCACTTGGCGTGATTGGCATGTCTCCCGCCCCCAACGGACGTGGTTCAAAGTGCAGCACGGCATTCGGGGCTACTCAGACTGTCAAGAATACATAGCCACACGATGCCCGCTGAAGCAGTGCAAAGATCCCGTGGAGAAGGCCATTTCTGCAGCACTGGCGGTGAAAGGCGGCGCCGAGGAAATTGAAGACATGGAAGGATGGCAGGATGTTTTAGACTGCGCAGTCGTTGTTGGCTTGCATCCTGACCAAGCAACTGGCGGCGTTGCGGAACTTGCGAGGGTACTTGGACGGCCCTTCGCTGTGGTGCCCTGTTGCACTTTTGCCGATGAGTTTCCTGAACGTCAAGTTGGGGGTCGGCCGGTTCGAACGTACAGCGACTTGATCGAATGGTTGACGCTTGACGGTGCGGCGCAGAAGGACTTCTTGATGTTTTTTGGCAAGAACCTCGTGGTGTTCACTGCATGACTTCAACCATTTTGTTTGACGTTGCGCAGCAGACTCTGAATGAAAAATGGCAAGAAACCTTGGACATAGCATGTAGCCATTATCTCCCGACCTTTGGGTATTGAGGATGTTGAGCTTCGGGTCCACAAGTTTCCACGACCACTTGAGCCAAAGCCTTCCTTGGAACAGCTCTGAGGTGACAGGCGTAGACTAGGAGTAAACCGAAGTTTCCCTGTTGGGTCAGGCGCGCTCTTGACAGCTGCGAAGTCATGCGATAAAGAGTTGTATTTGGTAAGCCCACACAAGTAGTATAACCACTAAGTCCCTAAAGAAGTATATGTATAATATTATAATTCTTTTTTTTGGAACCTTTTTGTCGGTCTTTTGGTTTCAGCTCCCTCCGGCCAAGATCATGGCTTAACGGACCAACCCGAAAGCGTTTGAAGGTAGGCCAGTCTCAAATCACGGCCAATTTCATGCAGGAGAACGTTTGGGCTTCACTCGACGCCATATCGAATGCTGCTTTCCGGAGCTCAAACAGCTCGCCAAGAACGATGTGCCAGAGTGGATGGCGACTCAGATCGATCACGAGCCTTGCTTGAAGGGCTGGGAGAGGAATTTCGTGTCAAGCAATGTCAAGCAGCAAGAGCTTCCCAGCAAAGGTAGCAACTTAACGCTGACTCAACAAGAAGTCAGGGGACATAGGGGACTGGTGCAGACTGGGGTTGGAAGTTGCCAATCCTAGTTCCAATTGCATGTCACCCAACCCTGTCAGGATTTGAGAGCTTGGGAGGATCAGGTCACTTGGCTAGTCTCAGTCGAATTTATATACCTTTTCAATCCTTTTCATGCACGACTTTAAGAGCTTGGGTCAGTTTCAGATTGTTCAGTTCCGTATCATGGAACAGGATTGTGTTTTGGAGGCGCCATTCACAGGCCACAGCTTGGATCTAATGCACGAGGTCTTCGAGAAGGCGGGTAGGGGTGCCGACCTCTGCCGCTTCCAAATCAGACGCTCGATGAAAAGAGAAGGGCAAGGCGACGCCCCTCAAATCGACAGGGCAAGCGGACGGACCCCCCCAGTGGAGTGCGACCCTGTCGATGAGAGTCAACGTGAGGAAAAGATGCCATTTTTCATTGTGACTTTGGCCGGTCTCGAGCCTCGGATGTGCAAAGACTGCTTGGAGCTGAGGTCGAGGTAGTTGTTTTTCTTCATTTTTCTTGCCAAACGTGGCACATCGTGGTGGCACTTGATAGGGACTTTGATAGGGATTCCTTGGATTTTTAGGATTGGTTCTGGTGTGATGGTTTGGATGAGTTACGGAAGTTACGTTTGGATGTTTTGCTGATATGTTCTTGCAGTGTGGGATACTGTCCCCAGTCCATCAGCAAGGATACTACTCTTTGCTTCATTCGCTCCGAGCAGCGTTGCACATCCTTCATGCCATGTTTGGCCTTCCAGAGGTGGAGACTAGGCTTCATAATGAACTGCACGGTCATGTATTATTATGTATCGACGCCCTGCCTTCGTTCCTTCGTTCGTCAGAAGCCGACTCAGCCGAAGCACATAAAAGGACTTGTTGATCCACACCAGCGAGTTCTATGGAGTCGACGCACCAGAGATCAACCTCACAGTCCCAGCTTAGGGCTTGGCATGCGTTGACCAAGCGTGAAGTCAGATGTCTGAAAACGCAACCCAAAGAGCTGAGGTCCTGGTCCAGGCACAACCTGAAGGTTGCAATGGGATCCTGATGCCTTGGTGGGCCTTCTTGCAGTGGGCTTTTCGGTGGCACTAGTCAAGCGTGTCAAGGCAGCAGTTCATTTGACATCCCATACGGCAGCAGAACTGGCTTTAGTTGAGGAGTGGACACGGCGTTACCGTGACAGATTGGAGCAAGCATCTGCCGATGTGCAATGGCAGGATCGGGACTCCCTGCTCTTTTGGCGTGGCTCCGACACTGGATGTTTGCTCCCAGGCGCAGAAATCAGTTGTGCTCGGAGTTGCTCAGAATGGAATTCGACCACTTGGCCTCTTTTTCCACGTTCAAAGCTGGTGCTTGCATCATCAGTGTTCCCTGGCCGGATTGATGCTGTCTTTACCAAAGACACGGTGCACCGGGAATGTCAAGACGTCTATGATTCCAGTGGCTTGCGAGTAGGGGAGATCGTCCCTCCTGAGGCACACGTTCTGCACAAGTCGCTTTCTGCTTTGCTTCAGGATTCGTTTTATCTTTTGGGTGGACCGTTGGCATCTCCAATCTTTTCACTCTGATCATGTTGCATATTTCGTCGTGGTGTGCCATAATCCAGACAGTCCCAAGTGTCCTTGAAGGTATTTGGCCTATGTAGATGGAACCTCCTTCTCGGACCGACTTTTTTGGCTATTGCAGACTGACTCCTTGGTATTCCGAGCTGCCTCGAGCATCCGCGTGTGGTTGGATACTGGCTTGAAGGCATGGACACACTACGTTCCAGTTCGCGAAAATTTATCAGATACTTGCATGCTTTGCATGTGCGTTTTTGAGCTAGTCTCGGTTTTTATTTGTCGGGGTTTTATTGGCCAGTTTACAGTCCCAATGGGCACATTTGCACAGCCTTAGGATTTGTTGGACCGATTGGATTGGGCGAAGCAGAATGATGATGCAAGTGCCAGGCCGCCTTAACAAATGAGAAGTGCATTCACGCGAGCAGAAGTTCCTGCTTTTGCAAGTGTGTCACATTGCTCAGGATTTCAGCTGATGCAGCACAGTTTGCTAAGACGCACCTTACCTTAGATGCCAGCTTGTTCTACCTGTATCAGCTCCTTGTGAACTGACCTCAGCACAGAGCAGCCTGCCAAGACAACTGTTCATTGGGGCTTTGATCTTAATGCTGCGTGACTCTAAGGAGGTTGGGCAAAGTTATTCAGCTCACGCCAATCGAGATTTCAGTACCACAACCTGAATTCGCGCCAGAGCCAGTCGTGGAGGCTGATCGTTGCTTTGCTTCTTCGGTTGGAGGCTCAAGTTGAAATGAAGCTCATAGCAGCTCAAATGTTCGCGATCAGGTGGATTCCGGGCTGGATTGCTGGGCCTTTGGTTTCAGCCCAGCTTTTTGCTGCAAGGTGGAGGAGCAGTTTGACAGAAGATCTTTTGGAGTAGGTTTTTGCATAGAGAACCGACGTAGCCTTGGGCTGGTAGGCCATGGCATGCCATGGCAAAGATGACCCCAAAGAAAGAATTTCAACGATTTTGCGCGTTCATTTGTTTTTTTGGAATGCACGGGACTGTCTCACTGGAAAACATAAATGTAGGTATGCGTATAAAGCCATATGAAGCCCCTAAAGTGATTGAAGGAGGCAAGTTAGGCAACGGAGAAGGCACATAGCAGAATATAGCAAGGGGGATATGTAGCAGCACGCCCAATGCATTTGCATGTGGGTTCCTCTAGGGGTCACAGGCCTTCGTTGGCTATGGGCTTACCAATCCAAAGGACTTGGGTCATTTTGGGTCTATCGGGTGTCCATTCAAATTCCCCCCAAGCAGCCCCTGGCACACTGCAAAGGTATGGCCCTGGCGGAAATCCTGCATGTTGGGATGGGCCATACACATTTGATCTTTGCTGTGGAGAGATGTCGTCGCATCCAGCGCCCAGTGGAAAAGTCGTTGTTCTCCTCTCAAAGCAGGGCAAGTTGGCAAGAATATTGTAGAATTACTTAAGACACGAGCGGCGTCATGTCCAATTTCCAGCTTTTGGACGACAATGCAATTGATCACCTAAGAGCCTCAGTCAGCCAGCTGTTGAATGTAGGGGGAGAGGGGGAGTCTCCTGATCCTCGCCGCAGGCCCTTTCGGTTTATCGGACATTGAACTCTTTCATTTCTGCATTTTTTGCGGAGCTGCCCACTGTGACGTGTCAAAAATTGGTATGTCAATGTATGCCAAATGGCTGTCAAATGGTCAAATGGTCTTTTTGAGCCTAGTCTCTTATCAAGAGTAGATTCAAGCCACAAAGTAGAGCTGAGGTTGCGATGGCACTCTTCAAGATTGTGTTCTCTTTGCTGCTGCTGGCTGCTGCAGAGGAAAGCGAGAAACTCTCGGAATCGCTCGATGTTTGTGGGACTTTGTGCCTCCAGGAGTGCGACAACTCTGAGCGTGATGAGGTGCAGCTCCTGCAAGCCCAGGACTAGCTTGGCAAAAATTGTTGAAATCCTTTTTGTTGACTTTTCAGGCAGGTACGAATGTGAGATAATATGAGTGTGTTCGGATTTTCGAAAACACTAAAGTTTGAGAGTTGTGTGAATTCACATCTGGAAGCGGAGAAACTCTTGAGGATAAGGGCAGAGAGATTCAGCCAGATTGGACCAAGCATCTCGGGTGAAAGACTAATTACAACTTTCTCAGATTGCTACCTGTGCTAAACACATATTTGGAATGAGTTAGTAGGCAGGCACGGTGTGTTTTTGAAGCTTCTCATGGTAACTTGTCGAAGGCCTCAGACCAAACATCCACATGTTTCTTGAGGATCGTCGATGCTGCCAAAACTGCAGTGAATTCAGGTATCCGAAGATGTTGTTTCTTGCTCACTGTGGCTGTTGCAACCGAGTGCTATCGAATGTTCTTTTTGACAGGCATTGGAAAGGTGACCACCCAATTGTCTGATGCTCTCGACACTGCGAACACGAAAATTCTGATGCCTGCTGCAGTTAGTTCTGATTTGTTATCATTTGCTGGCTGCTGGCATTTGCTGTTGTCAATCTTTGTGGCTTATTTTAGCTTGCATATTGCAAGATAAGACGAGCCAAGGGCTGCTGGCACAAAGTTCAATCAATCCGTGGAGAAATTCGAATCCAAAGCCAATGCAAACTTCACCGTGAGCTAAGGCCTCAGAAAACAGTTCCCAGCAGAACACACGGGGTGGCTACCCACCGGTTCCATGCAGTGCCACTGCCACTGAAACTTGAAGCGAGGCCAGAACCTTTCAGCGTTCAAGAGTCTTATCGATGCCAATGTGCCTTTGCTTGCACGGAGATGGAGATGTTTGCTTGTTCAGTGCTGGCACGTTGGTCTCCAAACATATGGGTCGGGAAGAGGGTGAAACTCGAGCACCTCCAGAGTTAGGTCAAGCAGTTCGTCCCGTCCTACAACACGACCCTGAAACAGGCAGGAACAGACCGTTGGTGGTTGAGCAATGACCCCTACTCCGACACATCATTGTGCGGTCTATGCGCAGGCCATTGGAAGGAGTTTTGGCTTCCCCTATGCCTTGCAGACACCACATGCCAGGTCACAACTGGACTTGCAACCACCAAGACCGTTATGGGAGCAATGGGCCAGAAGGAGAGGTGGCTTAGTTGAAGAAAGGCGACGCATCGAAAAAAGACAGCCCGAACTGGTCAGTGAGCGGATCCAACTCATGCCATTCAACCGGACCAGGAGTTGGCAGAGAAATTGGAGAAATTAGAGGGCACTGTCACCGACAATTTGAGAGCCCTGGCGGATTCAACCCAGGCACGACTACCCCGAAGCTAGCACAGGGAGATGAGATTTTGATCAAACGAAGCCCTTTTGATGTTGCTGACGCTGAAAGACACGACATGGACAGACGAGCGCAGGCCATGGCGCAAGATATGACACAGGCTACAGCAGATAACTATGGTGACTACTTTGTCTGGAGCCAAGCCTAGCAGGCACTTTTAGTACCGTACATTAAGAACCACTGTTCAAGAGGGGGAGCACACCCTAAAAATACATTCTTAGGGTTTCCCTTATTCTATCACTGGAGCAGAACGATCAGGCCACAATGAAGAAGAAGTTGCAATTTATCTCTTCAACCAGTGCCTCTTTCAAGAGCACCTTCGAGTCACAGTTGGAGGCCATACCGACGAGCATGGAAGTAAACATAAAACAAAGGCTTGTAGGGTTGTACCATTCTAGGCACACAGGATGGTTGAGGATTCCTTAGCTACAGGAAGCGCAAACTGGATTTACTAGCATGTGGCTAGTGGATGTGCTGTTGAGATTTGAGAAGCCTTTCATTCTGACAAGTGCGTGACCTCCAAAGCACTTTGTCAAAGGTTTGTTGGTCAGTCCGGCCTATAACATTACTGTACTATTCTACCACCAGAAAGGCAGCGGAGCATAGACCTAACATGGCCTAACTGTCAACATCCAACCATCCCATGGTTTGTTGGTTCGGTACTACTGCAGGCACCGGCAACGTGCCGAGGGTTTGGGCCCCAATCATTTCATGGTCGCCAGGCCTTCTCAGGTGCCTTGCTCGGACCCTTGGAGGACGCAAATGATGTATAATGATGTGATTCGTTTTTGGCATCAAAAGGTTTCAGACATGCATAAGCTGAGCAGAGTTGAGAGTTTGTATCTAAATGTGTCCATTCATGTGTTACTTAGTCTTGTCATCGCAGGTTGCACTTGGGGATAAAGCTTCAACTCAGATCAGTGACCTCACGGCAAAGGCCCCTTCGACTCACAAGCTTATGCACGTGTGGACATTCATTGGCGGACTCGTGCCAAGATATGGGTGCCCACTGCGTGTGCTGCAAATTTGACAGCAAATGCCTGAGGCGGACCTCGTTCTTGGCAATTTGCAGCAAGTGGTGGCAACTGGGACAGCATATCCTAAGAGCACCTTTGTTCATTGCCAGGTTAGCCGCACTTGTATGTTGTATCGTGGTTGATACAGTGAAAACAACCTGCCACAACCCAGGGAAACTACAGCCAGGGCTTGAAGACCATCGGAGAGACCGTTGATGTGAAGCTGCAGAATACCAACAGCCGACTGGGCTGCAAGACCATTCGGATGTAGACAGCAGCTAGCAGCTAGCAAATTCACACAAAGCATTCTTTTGCCGCCCTTTTCTTGGTGTCGCTTGGTGTCAGGTGATTCATGTGCAGTTTGAGCGCATCAGATTGAATTGGTAATGATTGGATACAACTGTTGTGCGCTTGACGTTTACAGTGGGTGTCAAGAACTTTGAGCAGGATAATGCTGATGTATTATATGTGCTCCTGAGATTCTAGCGCTAGCTGAAGGACGACAATGTTTGAAGACCGGTATAGTAATTACTGTATATGTAAGCTAGGAACTCAATTTCACCAAGCGAATCCAATTAGGTGAAGGCTTCTTTGGCAAGATCTTCCACGGCCTCTTTCGCTGATTAGAGCTGGGAGATGCTAATTGACTGATAGTGACAGAGCTGTGTAGAGCAGCTGGAAAAAGGACCAAGTAATGCTGAAGATCATTTGGGTTGATATATCCTATTCCAGTTACGGTCGGCAAAACAGTATTGCCAGCATCAATGCTGAATACCCAGCACTACTGTATCCAGCAATCATTGTCATCCACGGCTACTGAAATGGGAAAAAGAAAAGAAGTACATGCGACTAGCCTTGGCGCAAGAAGGGTGCCTGAGTCACCACAGGGTACCAGCAACAGACGGGAATATGTTGCAAAGTACTCCCATGTACTCCCACATGACCCTTCCTCACGCTAGGTTGCAGTTGACTTGTCCATACCCATGTAACAATGTACGCCCATGTGGGGACGGTGAAATAGAATCGAGATAGGGAGCGATAGAGGATCAAGATGGTGAAGGACAGCTGTTGAGTTGAATCTTGTCGATCAATTTCAGTGTAGTGTAGCCCGCAGATGCCAATCACAAAGGGCACTATGGCTCGAGCTTGTAGGGCGCCATAAAGCCTGGTGGTGATGGCTGTGTGCTTCCAATATTTCCAAGTGCTTGGCAGGATTTTCAGTGAGAGCTGCTTTCTTTGGTTCTCCTCGGGGCCATGGCTTAAAAGAAGAGTTGTAGAAGTTCGAAGCTCAGAGCTGCCAGAGCTCCTAAAAGGAGGCACTGACAGCGTTGAGAGAACTCCTAAGCTGAAGGGCTACTGGGGCATTTGGAAGGAGGCTGAGGGTTTTGTTCTTCACCTGAAGTTGGGCAGACAGGAGATCAATGGCCTTTTCCAAAGTCGCGAGGAGGCTGAGGCCTACCAAGCCTCTATGCTCAAGAAGCATTTAGATTGGCCTAGAGCTCCTCTTACTGAAAAGGTGGAGCGCAGCGAGCTTTTTGATCACGCTGAGGAATTTGAGGAAATGAAAGAATATGTGTTTCGGGATACAGCTCCTGGGCCAAGTATTTTGAGGCCTGGTTTTCTACAGCCAGATCAGCTGGAACAGTTTGATGAAGAGGGTTTTCTTCTTCGGCTTCCAGTCTTAAACGAAGAAGAGCTGCCTCCAGTTAAAGAGGCCTTTGAGCGTCTCCTAGCAAATCGAGTTGACAAGATCACCTGTGAAACACTACGCTTTCGTGCAGCACATACCATGCCCCGACCTTTACACCAAGAGCTGGTTTTCCTACTCATGGAAAATGAAAATATCCTTCATGTTGTCGAGGACATTTTGGGCCCACGCTATGTTTGTTGGAGCGCTCACCTTTTCTGCAAGCTTCCTGGTGATCCTACGGTGCAACCCTTTCACCAGGATGCTGGTTTTTGGCCCCTATCACAGTCACGGGCCCTCACAGTTTGGGTGGCTCTCGATGATGTGGATGAAGGCAACGCGGGTCTCGTGTACATTCGGGGCAGCCATCGCTGTGGACGACTGGGTTGGCGACGCACAGCTGCATCCCACTTTCTCCTCCCTCAGGAGATTCCAGATGCCGATTGCATTGGAGAGCCCGTGGTTGCCACCCTCCGAGCAGGGGAAGCTTCAGTCCACAGTGATCTCACCATGCACCACTCCCCGGCCAATAGCAGCTCGAGGCGCCGTGCCGGGATTGCGTTGCGCTTCGTGCAGGCAGATGCACGCTGTTTGGGGCCTATGCTCAATGGCTATGAAATGAATAACGGATGCATCCTTCCAAGAGGGCGCCCGCTTAGTGGTGCCGAACATTGGAAAGCTGCCAGACGGAAGCGCCCAAAGCCAGGTGCAGCTCCATGAGTGGGGAAGTGAAGCAGTAAAATCGTGAGTTTGGGCTTCAGTCTTTGTATGTCTTTAATCCTAATCCTCGATGGAGTTTACATGCTGGTGCTCTTGGGGCTGCATTGTGACGGAAATCATGAAAAAACATACAAATGTTATCAATCAACTATATCTATGCTTTTTTGTGTGTCATATATATATATATATGTGTGTGTCACCCCTGTACCTAAGGGTTCCGATGTTTCCAAGCAGGGGGCCGGAGCCAGGTGGGGGGTCTCCGGCCAATGAAGACGCCCCCCACCTGGGTGAAAACGTACCTGCGTTTTTCCAATTTAATTTTTAATCAAGCTCTAAAGTGCTAATGCAAGATGAAAACAATGTTGAAACATCTCCAATTTTCTGGACTCCATCGCCTTTCCGTTCTGCATTTTTGAGTCAACGTCTAGTTGCACTAAAGGGAAACTTTTGTTAAACTATACTGTTCTCGCTGACCCATGCGCCTTTCTGTTCCCTCACCTTCCTTCTCAACGTGGGAACTGAGTTAACTGCAAACCAATGTCAGAGTGTGTCAACCCCTGTTCCTAAGGGTTCCGAGATCCATTTCCACCACTACGGCAGGGGATCAGGCTTCCAGTGACTAACCTGATCCAACGAAGCTGTGTCACTGGAAGGGAAGTGGTTGAGGACGCTCAACCACGTACCTGCTGAGTTTTCCACAAGCTGTCACCCTACTTATCCACGGTTTGACTCATGGTTCTTCATGCAGCTGCACCGCTCGTTTTGCCACCGTTGAGTTCTGCAGACAAGAGAAACCACTTTTGTTCAATCACTTACAATTTCTTGGACTACTCGCCACGCGGTTCCCTCACCTTCCTTCTCAGCATGGGAATTGAGTTAACAGCAAACCAATGTCAGAGTGTGTGTTGCTTTATATACATTACATCGCTCTGGCAAGTGCATGCCGCTCTTCGGCCAGAGTCAAGACGGTGAGATTTGTTCATAGGGTGTTGGGTGCGGTAGCCCAACGGCGTGTCCAAGCCAGAGTGCTTGGCAAAGCAAGGCATTGATATTTCAGTAAAGAATTTCAGTAAAGGACACGGCATGACTCATTGGCATCGCAGGGCCCGGGCGGCCCAAGGGGTTTTAAATGGCGATGCTTCCTTTGATAGCCAGTTTCATGGACTTACGATATACCTGCTTCAAGCCAGCGGATTTAGAAATCCATAGCAGATTGTAAGATCGAATAGCCTGTGGCACGATGAATGTAGCCTCGGGGGTCAAACAACTCTGGGAGACGCATCAAAAGGAAAAAAGAATGCATCAATAAAAAATATAAATGCATCAAGAAAAAAATAAAAATGCATCAATAAAAAAATAAAGAAAAGAAACAAAGAAAGGCAAGAAGGGAAGCAAGGAAGCAAGGAAGGAAGGAAGGAAGGTACGAAGCCAGGACGGAAGGAAGGAAGGAAGGAAGGAAGCAAGGAAGGATGGATGGAAGGAAGAAAGGCAGCAGGGCAGGAAGGAAGGTTCGCTTTTCTTGGGTTTTGGTGGCTTTTGCCTTTGGTTTTCGATGGCTTTTGTAGGTGGCCAGCTTGCGGAGCTGTGCTGCCTGCAATGGCAATCATGTATTCTACGTTAATGCATTTTTTTGATGCATCTCCCGAAAAACACACACAACAACAAGGACCACTTTTGAACTCCTGTTCTATCCCCCATTTGGCCAGCTACTCAGCGAGCCAGCTTACGGACCTGTGCTGCCTGCAGTGGCCAGGAAAGCTGCAAGTTGACTCACCCTTTGTTGCGCCACCCGAGGGTAAAATTTGGAGAAGGATGTTGCCATTTCAACTTGACTCACCCTTTTGCGCACAGGGTAAAAATTTGAGAAGGAAGTGGTCACTCCAACTTGACTCATCCTTTTGTTGCCAATGCAGGGGTAAAATTTAGAGAGGGAAGCGGCCATGCCGAGTTGACCCACCCTTTTGTGGGCCACGCAGGGGTAAAATTTAGAGAAGGATGTTGCCATTTCAACTTGACTCACCCTTTTGTGGGCCATGCGGGGGTAAAATTTAGAGAAGGATGTTGCCCTTCCAAGTTGACTCACCCTTTGGTGAGCCACCCGAGGGTAAAATTGTGAAAAGAAGTTGCCATTTCAACTTGACTCGCCCTTTTGTGGGCAGGGTAGAGTTTAGAAAAGGAAGTGTCATTCCAAGTTGACTCACCCTTTGGTGAGCCACTGGAGGGTAAAATTTAGAGAGGGAAGTGGCCATGCCAAGTTGACTCACCCTTTTGTGGGCCATGCAGGGGTAAATTTTAGAGAAAGATGTTGCCATTTCAACTTGACTCACCCTTTTGTGGGCCATGCAGGGGGAAAAATTTAGAGAAGAATGTTGCCCTGAAGTGCTCATTCCAAGTTGACTCACCCCTTGGTGAGCCACTGGAGAGAAAAATAGAGAAGGAAGTGGCCATTCCAAGTTGACTACCCTTTTAAGTGAGCAATGCAGGGGTGAAATTTGGAATACGCAGCAACATTCATTCGGGAAAGGGCCTGTGTGCGCACTTGATTCCCCCCGATGGGGTGTGTGCACGCTGAGTCAACAAGTGTGTGCGCAGATGAGGCGCAAGTGCTGATAAAATATGCGGCGCCGCCCTTCTGTGAGCCACCCGAATGTACAGTAGTAAAGTTTAGAGCGCAGAAAGCGATTCCATTCTAGCACGCCAGTAAAATTTTGAAGAGGAGAGGCGACCGCAAGGCCCCTGGTCCTTTGGTCCTCTGTTCCCCTGGTCTCTGGATCTGAACCTCTGCAAGATTTTGTGGGTCTCTAGACTCTACACCTCTACACTCCAGATCTGTCTGGATGTCGAGGCCTTTGGATGTCCAGCTTACGGAGCTGTGCTGCCTGCAGTGGCCAGTGTCGTCAGCACTGTGCTGCTGGAGGTGGCCAGAGTGTTGTAAGCACTGTGCTGCTGCAGGTGGCCAGCTTACGGACCTGTGCTGCCTGCAGTGGCCAGGAAAGCTGCAAGTTGACTCACCCTTTGTTGCGCCACCCGAGGGTAAAATTTGGAGAAGGATGTTGCCATTTCAACTTGACTCACCCTTCTGTGCGCAGGGTAAAATTTTGAGAAGGAAGTGGTCACTCCAACTTGACTCACCCTTTTGTGGCCAATGCAGGGGTAAATTTTAGAGAGGGAAGCGGCCATGCCAAGTTGACTCACCCTTTAGTGAGCCACCCGAGGCTAAAAATTAGAGAAGGATGTTGCCATTTCAACTTGACTCACCCTTTTGTGGGCCATGCGGGGGTAAAATTTAGAGAAGGATGTTGCCCTTCCAAGTTGACTCACCCTTTGGTGAGCCACCCGAGGGTAAAGTTTAGAGAAGGATGTTGCCATTTCAACTTGACTCACCCTTTTGTGGGCAGGGTAAAATTTAGAAAAGGAAGAGGTCATTCCAATTTGACTCACCCTTTGGTGAGCCACTGGAGGGTAAAATTTAGAGAGGGAAGTGGCCATGCCAAGTTGACTCACCCTTTTGTGAGCCATGCAGGGGTAAAATTTAGAGAAAGATGTTGCCATTTCAACTTGACTCACCCTTTTGTGGGCCATGCAGGGGAAAAAGTTAGAGAAGGATGTTGCCCTTCCAAGTTGACTCACCGTTTGGTGAGCCACCCGAGGGTAACATTTAGAGAAGGATGTTGCCATTTCAACTTGACTGTACTTGACTCACCCTTTGTGGGCAATGCAGGGGTAAAATTTAGAGAAGGAAGTGCTCATTCCAAGTTGACTCACCCCTTGGTGAGCCACTGGAGAGTAAAAAAATACACAAGGAAGTGGCTATTCCAAGTTGACTACCCTTTTAAGTGAGCAACGCAGGGTAAAATTTGGAATACGCAGCAACATTCGGGAAAGGGCCTGTGTGCGCACTTGACTCCCCATGGTGGGGTGTGCGCACGCTGAGTTAACAAGTGTGTGCGCAGATGAGGCACAAGTGCCGATATAATGTGTGCGCGCAGTTGAGTTGAATCCGTGTGCGCGGCTGCGGCGCCGCCCTTCTGTGAGCCACCCGAATGTACAGTAGTAAAGGTTAGAGGGCAGAAAGCCATTCCATTCTAGCACGCCAGTAAAATTTTGGAAGAGCTGGATCTGAACCTCTGCAAGATTTTCCAGGTCTCTAGACTCTACACCTTTACACTAGATCTGTCTGGATGTCGAGGCCTTTGGATCTTTGTAGATGTCGGCGTCCTGCTTCTCAACCGTGACCTCTTGAATCTCCAAAACCTGAAACACCTTATCTTTTGAATTCTTGGCAATTTCGAAGAGAACACAGAGGGCAGAGGCCGACCGTTGTGGTGGATAGGTTGGTCTCGACCCAAGGGCCCTACAGGACCATCCAAGGTATCCGTGTAGGTTGATTTAGTTTTTTTTGATGCGTTTTTGTTTTTCTTTTGATCACTGCTTCGAGTTGGACTATTGCGCTTCCCTCCACTCGTTTGGGTCCGTTTATTTTTTTATTGATTCATTTTTTTGATACCCAGAATTATATTTTTTTGATGCATTTTTATTTTCTTTTTGATCCCTTGCCCAACAACTCTTGGGGTAAAGACCAAACTCCGCCGCGCGTTTGACTGGCTCGAGTTATTTGAGGATAGCTAGGGAGGTCGAATTGAAGCATCACTCCACCGGAAACTGCCCCAGGCCCTAGCATGCATGAGAAGACCCCGGGTTTGTCAATCAAAGCTAATATAGATACAACATGCATCACAATGTAGTACATGCAGCTTGTGATGGAATGTCAATCCTGAAAACGACACTTGCAAGCCAGCTCCATTGCATTCCAAATACGCGATCTACCAGCCATGATGCTGCCATTTGCTGCGCTTATCCTTCTAACCTGGGTGTTTGCCACGCCGCTTGCAACTGCTTGGGAGAAGAGTGTGACTGACTTGGGCAGCTTGGCAGAACTTGCCAGAGGAACTGCGGCTTTGGTGTTTCGACAGGCCGCCACAAAGACGGCGACTGGTTATGTTGCTTCAGCACACGCGTGTGTTGCTATGGATGCTCATCAGCTGCGTTTGGCTAGAAAGGGGCAAGAGGAGAAGACAGTTATATAGGCAAATGCTCCGCAGGCGTTGTTTTTGGAGACATATCCGGTAATGATCATGCGTGTCTTACCCTTCGTTGAACAGCACGAGCAGAAATCATTACTGTAAAGTAAAGGAGAATTGTTTTCCAAAGGCGGTGTCCATGTCAATGTTGGAAGGTTTTTCGGCTGTGCCTCTTTCTTGGAATGAGCAGTCTTGGAATTGGATCACCTCTTATATACTTCTCGTCATCAGTGGCATTCCCTTAGCATCCCACAGCCATTTTTGACAAAATATACCTTTTTGTTTCATGAATCTTGCATCATGATAAAAGCTCAGCCTTTTTCCCAGTGGCCCATTTTTTCGACTGAAAGCCTTTGGCTCAGAACGTGCAAGTACCAAGGCCACACGTTCGACCAAAGCTCCCAGTCGCACTCCCAATCCCCAGGACGAAGGCTTCAGGTGAGGCGGGTGGACAGATCTTTTTGGGTTGCTTTTTGGATGGTGTTGCACATGACACATGGTCACATGATTACTGTATATAATATGCATATAATTTTTTGATAAGGTTTGGGCTGAGGGCTTGTGACCTTGGAACAATGGAACTCTTAACTGCTTTTTATCTCACTGACTCTTTCACACATGACTTCAAAGAGGAGAAGAATTCCAGAAGCCTTCGGTTTTAGCGTTGAATGTTGAGGATTAGCAAGAGGTGATAGGTTGACGGTTTGGCAGAAAGGTTTGATCAATTCAAAGCTGTTCTACGATTTGCAGTTCAGCGTTTCCTTGTTGTCTTGCTACCTACATCAATCTTGGCAGGAACATTTCCTTCTTTGCGTGTTCTCGATGTTTCCTGCTGCTCATGCTGCTTGTCAGTTCTTGCTTTCTTTTAGATCGGACCTATTTTTTGGTTTTCATGACTGACTTCCTTCACACGCTGCACGCCAAATTGCCAAACTTGGAAGTGTTCGAAGAAGGTGGAGCCCTGTCCAGTGGTGAGATGGATTGAGCTGTGCAAGGGCTTCTTAGAAGCTGGGTCATGTGCTCAGCTGTCGATTCTCGCTCGCAAAGATGGTTCTTGGACCGGACCTGCACGGAATGAAATATAATGAAATGAAGACATGTTCATTCACCATGCGGGGTATGACTATGGACTTGATCCCCTTCTGGTCTCCTGCTGCTGGTGCTGCTGGCGGGGAACCCTTGACTTAATGGCCTTAAGCAAGACACCAACACCTTTGGATTAGATTTAGCCCCACCTTGCCCAAGCATTCAATCAAACAACATCAAATCCATAATGTGGTTCCTTGGGCTAAGCAAACATTCTTATCGAAAAGACTGAACTCAGGAGTTGTTCCCTGTTTGTTCTTGATGTTACTTCTGTTGTTCTTGGACGGCTTTGATGCTTGGACACGCTCAAGGCTCCCAAAACGACAAGGTGTCCAAATTCAAATAGAGGCCTTGGAATGTGTTTTCCTCATTGGGTTTTCCTCATCGCTGCCGTTTTTCTTTGTCATTGTCAGATATATCATGATGATACATGCATGCATACATCTCTGTTACGTTTCTTTCCTAAGGAAGTTCGATCCATCGAACGTGCGTGGTGGCTGTCGCCTGCGCGGACCTCCGACATCTGCCGCGCCAGCGCGTCTGCTGGGCATCGGGGGGTTGGTCACGATGAAGACGGGCGAAGAGTTGCGCATCAGTGGGCCGCTTGGTGGCCGAAGTGCTTTGACGGAAGCCAAAATGATTGAAATCAGAATCAACGCATTCGCAACGGGTTTGTTCTTCCACCCACCCAATGTCGGCGATACGCAAACATGAAGTTTCACACGAAGCTCGCCCATGGTTTACTCCAGGAACCTCCACATGACATCGCTGCGCCTTGAAGCTGGGACTCTTGGAATGATACTGAACATGGGGGCATTGGTCATGTATCTCCTAGGCTCGTATTGCTTGCGCATTGAAATGCCATGTGTCATGGGGGTAACACTAGAATAAGTCAAACTTTGGGGGCATCCCGTCAAGCAAGAGCACAAGTCTCCTCCAGATGGTGGTGTTGCAAGCCCAGGACACTCATTTTTGAGAATGCTCAAGTGGTGACATCTCCTGAACCACCTCCGGGGGCAGAAAACTCTGCCATCAAGGGCGGTGCATTTCGCAGCTACGGCCGTGTCATTTTTGCCAACTCAAATGTGACTGCGTCTTGGCAGGCAAAGACTTATTCCACCTAGCATGTGGCGGGGGCAGTGTTGGTTTGGGGGAACAATTGTTAACACCTTTGCCTAAGAAAGTTTCACAATTGAACTCGCAGTTGAAACTCGGCTCTGCCTGTGACGAGGTGAGCAGTGGAGCGGCGAAAGAAGGTGGTGGTATAGCAGCTGATGGAAAGATTGGTGCTGCATCCGCCGACTTGCGGCGTGCCAATGCCAGAGCAGAGTTTTCTTGCTTTCGCTTATCATGTCAGAGTGGTTGGTCAGTCCTCCTTGCCTCCTTCCGCACTTTTTGGGGGGGGTGGCTTTGGTGTAAAATGGTGTAAGGAAGTATGCGGCCTTCAATGCCTTCAGTCTGTCTTTCTTCTTTCCGTGCGTCCTTTGTTCCGTTCCTTCTGTCCCTGTGGACAGTGGGCAGTACAGTAAGTTCAAAGTTTGTCAGTTGAACTTGTGAGCTACAGCTAAAACTGTTGTGTGCAAGTGTGTTTTGGCTTTCGTATTCACTTTGCTGCCTGTGCTTTATAGCTTGGCAAAAGGGTTGGACTGAGACCTTCCCACAATACCACAGTATGCCTGCCTTTCGCCCAGGATGTTGATCGCGTCGAGCCTTCGAGTTCAAAACACGGCAGCAAAGGAATTTGGTGGGGGCATCGTTGCCAGCTCAGCACTGACACTTGCCTCCTGTTAAGTGCTTTAGAATTGGTGGGGGTTTGTCATATTGCGCCTGGTCCCTGCGCAAAGATCACATGTGCAAACACTAGCCACATTAAAGCGGAAAAGTAAAGCTACGTTACCGGGGCCTGTATGGTGCGAGACAGGGTTGAGGCTTGAAGTTGGCGTTCGATGTGGCTTCTTACGTTTTGTTTGTGAGGCCTTACAGCCTTACACACGTGCTTTCTCTCTAGTGTATGCTTGACCTTTGAGGAGGCTTCAAAGTTTTGACGCAGCAGCTCGTACACTCTTGCTCGATGCAGACGTGGACATCAAAGAGCTGGATGCTTTGGCGCAGGCCTGGGTGCCGAAAGCTCCAGCTGTATCCATAGAAGATGCGTTGTAGATGCTTGCCATGTTTTGCTGTTTTGCTGGGGGGCCATTCAACCAACAAGAGCACATCACTGTACTCACCGGGTGCTGTGTTGTTGCCATGTTTCACGAAACTTGCGACACTTAGCTGAGCTGCTGTTTGCTTTAACATGTGGGGAGGCTGCACGGGCCTTTCGCGTGGTGTATCAGCCGTGCGCTCCACGCAAGTGTTTGTTCCTTTTGAAGCGGTGCTATATTGTCAACTAAGTCTTGAGCCAATGTCATGAGTGTATTTCTTTGGAAGGGTGGAACACATACAGACCATGTCTGAAATAGTCATTGCACAAACACACAATTCATCGCCATTCCCAGCACACAATAACAGTCATTAGCTGTCTCCAAAACGTAAAATTTATTTCGCCGCGTAAGCAGAATGAATGAGTCACAGAGTCACAACAGTCAAAGTTTAAATCAACATCTACGAAGGCGGAGCACCATGAATTATTTAAGTCAGCTGTTAGAGTGTTCTATGACAAATGCAAAAGTGAGAGCTACAAAGCCACTGTCATTGGAAATTCGGACCCAATACCCCGAGATAGTGTCTGATGACATTGAGCTAAACGACGGCAGGTCTAGACCAGTGAGGCAGATTCGGGGACATCAATGATGTTGATGCGGACGTGGTTGCTTTTCGGACATGCGCTGTACTGGTAGCAGGGTGTCATACTATGCAGAGACACCCCTTTACGATTCTTGCGCATTTCAACGTATACACTGTACAGCACACAATGAATCACAACGAACTGTTTGCGAGTGTGAAGTGCAAGCGCCTGCATACAACAAACAAGAGCATGTGCTGGACTGTCGCAACAAACATTTGTATTACTGGGCACTGTTGAATGGCTGCTCAATTGGCTTGTATGGCAAGTTCTCGCCTCATATTGAAATCTGGCAACTATATATGTTTGCACCATGTCATAGTGTGTCCTAACACAATATGGCCTGCCGTGCAAAAAGTGCAAGGTCCAAGTAAGCGGCACTCACAGTGTCAAGCGGGTAATGAATGGTAACGATATGAAGAACAGCCTGGAGGTGGCGGCATGTCTTTTTCCAAACATCATGGCCCCGCTGAACGAGGTGGGGTAAGCTTTAAACCGAGGTAGTATGCTGCCGTGTTTCTCCGAACAAGCACCAATATTCAATTCAGTTGAACAAGATGAGGGAATAAATACGACTATTAAGGGGTTTTATATAAAACGACCTTTCAGATGCTGTCCAAATCGTCCGCGAAAGATCCGCGATGAGGTTCGCAAAAGAATTGTTTTTCGCAAAAGATTTATCGATTGTCTTCATTTTCATGTAGAAATGGAAGGCAATCCTCTGGCATGCCGACGGCGGAAGTGTTCCCACATGCCCCCACTGTCACACAGCAACGAACTGACAATTCAACTTGCCCCTGCGCTGACAGTGAGGCAACGATCCCTGCTTTGATGGAAATCTATAGTGAATTTTTGCAACAGATCTGCGACAGTTTCGCAAACGTGCCGATAAAGTCACGGTTCCGATTTTTCGTGCCCCTCAACACCCCCGAGCTGCACTACCCTGTGTTGGTAGCTGGCACGAGGGTTGGATTGAGTTGTGCCTGACTGTTCCGAGCCTCCTCCAAGACATTCCTCAAGGTTTGTCGCACAGATGCCGCAAGTGACCCGAAAGTTTGTTACATGTTAATTAGACGTGGCTTTAGGACCACTTGCGATGAGGCCGCGAAAGAACAGCGAAAGACATTCTTTAGTGAAAGACTTTTTCTTGATCAACTGCCATTCAGAGCATTTTCACAACACATATAAAATGTTAATCATTTAGCATGGCTGAGTCATCGATGGGTGAACGAGGCGAGTAATATAGGGGGGTGGTCGCAGGACTGTGCCCGCCGGGTAGGGTGAACGCAGAGCTTGGTGGGGGAGAGCGAAAAAAGAGGCGGCACAGAAGGTAGTGAACATGTATGTCTTTACGGGGTGTTGATGCGAATGATGCACGCTGAGTAGTGCATCATTGGCATCGCAAAGTGCTCAGGAGACTATTAAAGTGATCTACTGCGGTGAGCTGACCAGGTGCGTGAGTCCAAGTAGAGGACGCAGCGTTTGACTTTCATTGCTTTAGTAGCTGAGTTGAAGTCACTGATTACAGTCACGGTGCCTGACCGATAGTTTTTTATGTAAGCCGATCGGTTGGAAAGGAATGCAGTAGTCCTCCTGTGGGGATGCCCTTTTTGGTTTAAAAGGGCCCTAAGCCGGAGGAAAAAGGACACCCCCCAGAACTGACATGTCCAAGGGAGCTCGACATTTGTACAAGAGCGTGGGATCCAAGTCTATCTTAGTAAAGGCCTTGTGTATATATAGGCTCTCTCATACCGAGCTTCAATGTGAAACTTCGCGTACCTCTGTCTTCTGCTTTCCTGTGTAAAAGCGTAAGAAGTAAGTGCAGCTTCGACCCCACCCTAATAAAACCAATACTATATTATTGACTTCTCAATCCCTACAAGGGCTGGCTTTCGCCCCCATTCTCAAGTTGCAAAACGTTGTAGGTCATATGAGTTCCACCACACAAACACGTGTTTCCACCGTGCACGTGACACATCTTTTCATAGATGGGCCAACCACACGCCATACGCGAAATGCAGTTCTTGTTCATTCATGTCTCGACTGGACGTTGGTGTGAGGCCAGCAGCTCCACAAGTTCCACACTCACTATCATGAATAGCACAGCTGCCACTGCAGGAGGTTTCTTTGCTATAGGACCAGTTGTGGTAACTGGCATGTCCGCAATAAACATCTCCGACAGTCATGCTGTTGCAGACGATGAGGGAATAGGTGGGGGATTTTCGACGCTTGGCAAATTGCGAGTGAATGGCAGTTCCACGATCCAAATTCAGCGAACCACAGCACCCGTGATGGGGGGAGGATTTCAGGCAGCGCAGGGGATTGTGGTCACTGGCATGTCCAGGATGACCATCTCGGACAGCTCAAGCCAACGAACAGGAGGTGGCTTCTTCAGTTACAAAGGCTTGGAAGTGACCAACAGATCAACGTTGCGAATCCACAAAGCAATGGCAGGGGGAACAGGGGGAGCTTTCAGAGTGGAAGAGGCTTTAGTTTCGGGGATGTCTGCTGTGATCGTTTCAGACAGCCGTTGCCTTTCCGGCGTCGGCGGAGGAGTTTTCGCTCAAAGCCTGCAAGTTTCCCATGGTTCAAACCTCAGCATCCGCAATGCCTTTGCTGGGGGGAAAGGAGGAGGAATTGCTGCAACGACTTTGCACGTGACCAACGGCTCAAAAGTCATAGTGAAGAATGCCAAGTCTCAGGGAAGCGGAGGATGTTCCTACAACAGTAACGTGATGATTGAGAGGACGTCCACGCTGAGCCTTTCTGACTGCCACGCATTGTCAGAGAATAGTGTTGGCGGAGCCCTTCAAGCCATGAGAGGCGTGCAGGTGAAAGACAACTCACACCTCTACATCCGCAATTCGTCTTCGATGCGAAGTGGCGGAGGTTTTGATTCGGGCAGTCATGTTGTGATTGCAGGAATGTCCAACATAAGCATTTTGAACAGCCATACTGTCTCAGGCAACGGTGGGGGCTTTTCAGCAGATAAGAGTTTGCGAGTGACAAGGGGCTCAACGCTTAGCATCCAAAACGCTAGAGCTGGCCAACATGGAGGAGGCTTCTTTGCAATTGAAAATGTTGTGGTGACTGACAACTCAACCTGCAGCATTCACAACTCCACAGCAGGCAGCAGTGGAGGAGGGTTCCTTGCAGACGGGGAAGTGGTGATTGACGGGCAGTCCAAGGTGAAGATGTTTGATTGCCATGCAATCACGGGAGATGGTGGAGGATTTGCCACCAGGACCTTAGCTGGAGCGAATGTTGATAGACGCTTGCAGGTGAGTGGCAATTCAGCACTCAGCATTCACAAGGCCACAGCTGGAGCAAATGGAGGGGGATTTTATGTAGAAGACGATCTTGAAGCCAATTCTTCTATCATTGAAATCTTCAACAGCAGTGCGGGAGAAGATGGTGGAGGCTTCAACGTGGGCAGGGCTTTGCTTGGAGACTGCGAGGTAAGAATTCGAGGTGCTGCCGCAGAACATGTTGCAGGGGGCTTCGCAATAAGATCTGGACTGTTTTTGAGCAGTGGATCAATCTCTATCGTCAACTCCACTGCAGACTCAGGAGCTGGAGGTCTTGTCAAGGGCCCGGCAATTCTCACTCACTCCAAGTTGGCCATTTCTGATGCAGGAGGTGATGAATACTCCGCTGTGTTGGTGGCAAACTGCTTGCAGCTTGGCCCTAAGTCTGCATTTCTCATGGAAGATGTTAACGGAGGGCATGGCCTGGATTTACGCAATGTTGGCTGCGTTTGCACAGCAGGGACTCTTCAAGTGGCTAGCGATGCGACTTTGCAGGCAAGTGGCGACTTGAGCTCGAGTTTCATGAAGGTGGCAGCTTGTCCATCTGAGACTGTATACCTCTCAGGCATTCATCTCCAGTCATGGTCTAGTGCCCTCTGGAGCAGTGGTGGATCTCCTCCAAGCCACGTGGTGGTAGAGAACGTCAGTGTCGACTTTGAACCGCAGCTTGACAACGTGCAACTCCTGGAAGTGGAGGATCTGCGATTCGCAAATTTAGTGATGAGAATCAGTCAAGACTTCCGCCTAGAGACCTAGAGAAGTGTTTGGTATAAATTGCTTTCCCGTTTGTTGATCTGTAAATGGAATCCCTGCAGGAAGGTTTCACTATCAACTCCTTGGTCGTTTCCTGCCCGAGCTGTACGAACGGGGTCACTTTCATTTCCACGGAGCACTCGCTTCATGCATTCAGCCCGAAGGCCGATCTCAAGTGCCCAAACCAAGTTATGGTGTCACTTGGCGCACTGTTGGCCCCAAACTGAGCAACCACAATCCTTTGGCACCAATCTTGATCCGCTTGATGGGCATTGAGTGATTCGGTGCATTAAGCTACTCTCTTGGATTGCCACAGCTTTTTTCTTCCCGAGGTTAAATGGGACAACACCGCGCTGCACTTGCACTGACTACAAGATTCTTTGGCCTGGCTTCGTTCATTCCCACCTGTTTTGATATGGGGATTGGTCAAAACCTGTAGGGTGAAGCCCCATTTGTGTCGGAATGCGCACGCTTCCTTGTACGCTGAAATGATTTGCACCACAAGTACTCCCTTTGAATGGAGCTCAGTGGGATTCCTATTTGTAGAGGCCAGAAAACGAGGGCCAGCTGTAGCATTTGAAAGAATTTTTGGCAAGTGCTTTCATTTGCATTGTATGAGGCTCATAGCTTTCAGATGAGCACCGAAATGGACGGATCATCCCATGTACAGTCCTTTGAAGAGATCCACAGATCCCTCTACCCGAATTCGGAACCAGAAGACCAGAAACCAGGTCAGTGGTTCTGATTTCAATCGAGATTGGCTCAAGAGGAAAGAGCGTGAGCGAGGATAGACCGTATAGATGCGCTTCATGGTGGCGGAGCTATGTTTTTTTCAACCGACCCTGGAGCAGCTCCTTCTATGCCCTCTGTTGAAACTGGGGCATCAGTTAGCGGTGAGCAGGCCCAAGGTATGTGGTGCAGCTAATTTGGCCAGGACCTTACAGGAATCCATTGGTTCACTGAAACCTGCACTTGACACCTGGATGGCCCATGAGGAACCTGGAAATTACAGCTTTCCCCCCTTACATGTCACAGGCTTGTCCGATCGTGCCGAGATGTGAGCAATCGAATAAGAGGGGTCCATGCTTTGGCGTTGGGCGTTTAGAACTGGAGGATGTATATAGTCCATCCATGTCCACCGTGGCAACGAGCTACCAAAAGCTTCACCCAGAGGTGACGCGTGCGCGACGCAGATCAAAGAGTTACTTTCGCGCCGACAGACAGCACCAAAACTGTCAACCTACCCAGTTCCAAAGTATGAGATGTGGAGAACACAACGAGGAAGTCGAAGGGTTCACGTCATATGGTCAGGAACTTGCTTCTTGGGCAGGCAAAAGATGGAAAATGGCGGATTCTTTAGTCACTTCGCAGCCGTCGTAGCCCCATAGAAACTACATGGGGCCACATGAGTGCATCTCAGACCAGCAGGTCACATCATTTGCTTTCAAATTTCAACGCGCTGCTTTTCAGGTCATATGGGGGAGCCGCTATGGCGATAAAGCTCTGAGTTGACGCGCAAACATGTGAGTTGTTGTGGTTGTGAATGCATCACCTCAATTGCTAGCCAGTGAGTTTTGAGTGAAGACGCAAAAAGAGTCAGAGCTTTTGCCTAGCTGGAACAGGATTGCCAAGCTTGAGCTTGTGCATACAATGGGCATACAGCTATATCAGTGAACTTATCAGCGATTGTCCGTGAAGTTCAGCAAACAGCAACTTGCCGGCTTTTGTGGGGAACGCCACACTGGCAGTCAAGGAGCAAGATCAGATTGCGCAAAAACTGGGCACTAAACTGGGCTTCTGGTAGATAGCGCATCGGTTCATTCCATCTCAGGCTATCTGGGTGGCATAAGTGCCGCACAGACCAGGTACCGCAGAGCCATCGCATCCTTGATGCAGGCACTTGCCTCAAACACCTTCACGACACCTGGTTTCAGCTCTTCTGTCACTTGTGCCAACGCCCGAAGCGTCAAACAACAATAGGTCATGAACATCAAAGAATGACGAGGTTGGAGCCTGGCTGTTACAAAGAATGACAAACCTGAACTCAACGTATCTGACCATGAGAAGCGGGACGCAGAAGAAACATTCGACCTGCATAATTGATATATTTGGCCAGAGGCCAGAGGAGAGCTAGGCAGTTCGTTCGTTGTAGCGAAGACAAGAAGAAAGAATTGGGGCTGGGATGGCGATGCCTTGTGACTGGATGGCTTGTGGCCACCGATCGGCTTCAGAGAAAAGGTGAATTTGTTGCGGACCTTTCGTCGGCCACAAGAACCCGGTAGACGTTGTCATTGTCCTGCTGGAGGTGGAGTCGTCTCAGTCTTGCACAAGTCAGAGTCTTTTGGTCAGATGCAATTCGTGTCTGGGATTGCAGGGAAGGTTGAAGTGTCAGGTGCTCAACAGATAGTCGGCCTGTGAAGTTGTTTGTAGGAGGTTGCAGGCGGGGCGAGATCGCTGCCGATTGTGAAAGCGGCTTTAGCAGACAAGTGAACGGCAGTCGTAACCACAGGCTTCGGTGTTGGTCAGGAGCTAACATGTTACTGCTCGAGCCCAGCGGGAATAAGTCGCCAGAAGTTCAGCTTCACAGTCCTTGTCATGAAACCTGGACATTGTGTTTCTTGCACCAACAAGTTGGGGCCAGCTCAGGGAAGATGCGTTGTTTGTCAGTTGCTCATTGTTCTTGGACTGATGTCGTAACGCCAGACACAGCGGAAGCAATCTCTTGGGCGCCTTGTCTGTCAAAAAGCTTGACCAAAAGATTTTCGTTCGAATTGCTAGGTATGGTTGGACAGACGTGTGCCAGGACAACAGGCCTGTGACCACTGCCGAATGGAAATTAGGAACCTGCAACGTACTTGTTGGGAACATACCATGTACAGGTGACTTGGTGGGAGTGGAAGCTTGCCTAGTTAGCATGTCTTCGGCTTGCAGAGCTGAAACATTATATATAGTCATGCTACTTGGGCCAGAAGGCCATTGGCGAGTGAGCGGGTTCCAGAACAGAAGGAGCACGACGTTGAAGGAGGTTGACATGGAAGGTGTCAAGGGTTCACAGAACGCTCGCGCGAGGTCCGTCATGAGGTGAATGAGGTGTGAGATAACAGTCGTCTTAGATGTTGCGAATTCAGCAATTGGCGTGCATCGAGAGTGGGGCCTGCACCTGCAAGGATCAGAAGAGCCAAAGTTCAGTTCGTCCATCTCCTCAGGCACAGTATTGGTGTTGTCCGCAGTGCGTGACTGTGAATTGAGGCGGGTGACAACTCAAATTTGACAGAAAAATGGAATTTCCAATGAAATCCGGTCCTAATTCCAGTCGTTGCTTGCTCAACAAGTTTTGTTCGATCACTGGGCTGCAGTATTAGATGTTCCGATGTGATTGCTGAAAGAAACGTATTTATAGCGCAACGCCTCTCAGCGTGGCAGGGTGTGAAGGTGTGTGGGGCGCCATCCGTGTCGGAATGTACACGCTTACTTGTATGCTGAAATTTCTTGCGCGCAACCAATAAGTACTCCAATATTCCTGTGCGCACAGGCCAGAACACGAAGGCCGAACTGTAGCAATTGAAACGATTTTTGGCAAGAGTTTGAATTGTACAGAGTTGAGAACTTTCAGTTCAGCCATGGACGGATCATCCTATGCGCAATCCTATGTGCAATATGTAAAGTCGTATGAAAAGATCCACAAATCCATTTAATAGGGACCACAATGCCAGAAACCTGGTCAGTGGTTCTGATGCGTGAGCAGGTCCAGGTTTAGATGCTCTTCATGGAAAACTGGTCTACCACGTAGGTTGACCATCATACAGCTTGATTCCCCAGGGCTTTTGACCCCAACCTTTTAGCTCGTGTCAGGGCGTATGTCCTCCTGCCGCCTCCACCACCGCCTTTCCTCCTCACGTGGTGTTTTGCAAAATTCCAACAGGGCTACAGGGACTTACTTTATCAAAACATCGGCACGTATACGTGGTTTTCGTGATTTAGTCTTCCCGTCCGGTTGTTTATGGTGCGAAAAGCCCAGGCTGCAGTCGCAGAAGGATTGCGGAAGCGATGCTGAAGACCCAACATGATCAACATGTCAAAAGCCTCGGAAGTTTTGCACGCCAACCACCACCACCAAAGTCAACAACAGGCCACCAGAAACACGTATTGAAAGAGTTGAGCCATGAAGTTCCCCCTGACGCAGGCCAGCAGCAAAACGCTCGAAGTGCACAGAACCGCTGGCTGCCCGCACGCTGTTGCAAAATAATGGTTCTGACGCGTTCCAGTTGACATTGCGGATGGGGAGAACATGCGAGAACAGAGATGTTGTCATTCCTGGCGAGTTCATTGTCAGGATTGGTGAGGCATTCCTTTTTTGATTTTCATGTTATATGGACGAACTTCGCAGAAACCACGTCCAAACCCTCCGAGATGGCCATCGGAACAATTTGTTACCAGTACTTTGCGAAAATGACCATGTGCCGGCCCTGCCGCCTTATATCAGGTACAAAGACAGAAGATAAGGCAGTACATATATCAGTCACAAGGTGTGCGCATATGTCGGAGCGCATGCCAGTCAATACAGTAGTGAAATGTAGTTTCAGGGCGCATTTATGCCACATGTCGGCAAGTGATTTGTCAACAAACATGTCATCACATTTGTTAGCCGGCGTGGTTGTAAACATGTTTGCGCACATTTCTGAATTTTTCAATTTTTTCATCATGCTCATACCAACTATCGTGCCATGCGCCATTGCGAACAGCATGCGGTATGTACGGTACTGGTACTGAGTACTATTTATGAGGTTTAACTCAGGTTCTTGACATGACATTGGGTTCAACAACAACGCGGGCCCCACGCAAGTAAGTGCAGGATTTGCTTCTCATCAGTCAAGCGGAACTGATGGGTAATCTCATGAAACACCAGCACTATCAGCAATCACCATAAGAAAACGTGGCGTGTAGGAACTTGGCGGAGGAGGCGAGCAACTTCGTCGCGCAGAGGACAGGATGTTGCCAGCCAATACCGGGAATTGGCAAAGCACGACCTTGAACGTGAATTGGCCTTCAGATAAGAAAGGGCAGCATGCAAGTGCATACATGCATGATGTACACGTACACACCTCAGCCCTATTTGGCTTAGAGAAAAGGAGCACCATTTCTGCATGGTAGCGGAGCTGTCGACTCCTACTCCTGTCCCCCTGTCATACCGGCTGTAAGTCCCTCTGGGCGGCGGTGTGGGGGCACCCTGTACACTGACACCTGTGGCGTGGGCCCGGCGTAAAATCCACACTTTGCGTGGTGGCAAGCAGCGGCATGTCGTTTGCGCCTTTGACCCCTCCTCAGCTCTTGGAGGAGGCAGCTGCTGCGTCGCCGGCCTTTGCGTCTCCTGTTG